TTCCTTTCACTTGTAGCCTGCCTCAGCTACTTGTAGGTAACAAGTTAGCAACTAACTGCACTGTTAGCATATGCCAGGGATGTGAATACTGTACCCACCACTGTGATACGGTCCTATTGCCAGCCCACTGGCCAGGAACCCAGTTCTGGAATTCCGTTCTTGGGTCCAATGGCAGCAAGTCTTAGAAGGGGTTTCCTACGTGCAGAGCCTAAGACAAGCAACTCTGTGTGATTTGGTGTGAGATGGTCTTTGACAAAACACATGCATGCACACGCACATACACACACACACACACACACACACACACACACACAGACGGCAAGTGGAAAGCCAGCAGGACTGGAAAGAAGTGAACAAGGACATAATCTCAGGCAAATTCTAGCAGAGCAGGTTCAAGGAGGAAGAAGCTGTCTGGAACCAGCAGAGGGAGTGTCAGCTTCCCCAAGACTACAGTCCAGTATAGAGAGCCAGATGTCAGTGCCCATTCGTTGAACTAATCAGTCCTGTGGAACTGTAATGCTCATGACACACAGCTGAGTAAGGTGGTATGGCATACACTACAGCAGTGGCAAACCTATGGCATGTATGCCACAGCAGGGTGTTTGTTATCATTGAAAGTTCTAAAATGTTCACCACCACTGGCATAGAGCTTCTGGTTGGCTGCTTCAGGTCAGATATTAGGGAACACCTCTCCAAAGTCACCTTCAGCCTTGTCACAGTGCTGAAGAGAAGGAACCAGTTGGGGGAAGGCCTCAGAGAAGAGCGCTCTAAGTAGAAGGGCCTTTAATGTAGACCTTAAGGTAGAAATGGGCTTTCTCTGATGAATGGTAAGAAAGGGTGTGATACGAGTGAGGGAGGTTTCCCAAGAGACAACATCAGAGGTAAGGGAAAGAGGAACTAAGAAGGACTTCTAGGCTTGGCTGGGTGCAGTGATACACCCAGTGATCTGCTCAGTGCTGGATCCAGCCCAGTGATCCACCCACCTTCGTGGCTCTTAGTTCTTCCAACACCTCAACTCCCATGAACTCTTCTTTACCCTGTCCAAGCCAGTCACTCCCACAGCCACACCATGGACCTGGTCATTACCAGAAATTCTTCCTTTAAATTGTGAACACCAGACTCTAACTACAAGTTCCTATTCTTCAAGCACAGTCTCTCAACCCCGTCCTCCCACTCCAAAGCCAAATAGTAATCAAGACTCTAAATCACTGGACCTATCACTTTGCTATCAGCTATCTTGTTTACTTATTGACCTCAGATTCCATGGTTTCTAATGTTTACTATTTTATCATTTCCTTTAACTATCTTAGCTCACTCTCTCCATATACTTTCCCAGAAAATCCACAACTCTGGATAAACCACAATATATAAATAATTACTTACATCATATTGACACTGACAATCCAGTCCAGTAGTTCTTAGCACTTCCCAAGTGAGCTCTTTTATTTTTCATAATTTTCTACCACTACTGTGGAGCCTCTGACCTTTCAGCTGATAACCTCTCACTTCATGGAAAGCACAAGTCATCAAGTGAGAGCTCCCTCCTGCTCCCCTGACATCCCGATGCCTTCTTCCTCCTAGGAAATCCATCTGTGTAGGCCGGCTCCACTGCACTCTCTGCATTAAGGATCTTGTTCCTTTCTCTAGTAGCATCACTCACTTCTCCTATTGGATGACTCCAGAAACAGAAGAGCATGCTTTAATAGCATCCAGCTAATCAACAAATAATGCCTATGTTTGTGTCTCAGGCTTTCATCCTGGTTTGTCTGCTAAGAATATTAATTCTTATTTTCTGTACTCTAATAGTTTAACATCTGGACCCTCACTGACCCTGGAGGCACTACTCCACCCAGGGCCGGCACCAATTCCTGGATAAATAACTCATCCTTGACTGCACTTTTTACATTCAGATAAATACAGTCCAAGGGCCACACCCCCCCTCCTCCTCTAATGGAGCTCACATTCTGGGCCACCATCCTTCTGTCCCAAACACTGTAGAACCAAGTGCCAGACACTCAAGGTTTCCACACCCAAGAATTTGCTGAAATTAAACTAGTCAGACTCAGCCTCCACACCTCCTCATCTGCTCTGTCCCACAATAATGGCTCATCCTGTCCCTGCCCTCCCTCTCTCTTCCTATGACCAACCCAGTGCTTCCCCAAGTGGCCACGGGGCAGGACAGCATGGTGTGTCCACCTCACAGCACTTTGGGAACTGTAAGTACCTTCCCAAGATCATCGCCTCCTCATCTGTTGGCCTTGCTGTATCTCAAACATTCTGTTAAAGTGCTGGGCTTCTCAGACTGATAATCTTGTCTCATTGCTCATTTCCCACTCCTCAGTTTGCTCTGATCTAGTTTCTGCTCCCATCATGGCGTGGAAGCTGCTCTTGTTAAGGGCACTGATGACCCCCCAAATCCAATGATCCCAAATATAATAAGCATTTTTCTGAACATTCATTCATTCCTTCTATAAACATGTGTAAGAGGGCCCCCACCACAAGGAGCCTGCCCACTAGTGAGGCGGACACTCAATGAGCACACAAAGGTATATTAAGGGGCACTTCCTGTGGCCAGTTGGTGACTAACACCCCCAAAGTAAGGGCAGATGGGAGCTATGTGTTTCTCCTCAAGAACGTCAGTGCCTCCAGCACAGCATCCTAGATGCACAAGGGTCAGCCTTGGCACTGCCCACCACCCCTGTGGCTGGTAAGACCGGCTGGGGACAAAGATGAATGGGGGCATTGAAGTCGTCTCTGTGGAGTGCTGCAACTGCTCAGTGTTTCTGTTCCTTCCCCGTGCTGATGGAAAGAGTGCTTCCCTGCAAAGCCAAATAAAACAGCTCTGAAATAATGTTACAGCAATTGAGGTGGCCGGCAAGGAGGAGGTGGCATTTCCATCCTTGGAAAGGCTGCAGCCCAGCCACAAAACCTTTATGCTCATCTTGGTCCTGGCAGCTGGGTATGCAGCCCACACCGGAGAGCACACGCCAATATGTGCTTCCCGTCTCTCACTCCTCCTTCAGATGCTCCCTCAGAAGGGGTAAGTACTGTCTGGGTCCATCTCTCACCAAACAGCACACCCAGGGTTTTCTCCTGGGGTGGGGAGCATGGTGTCATAAATGCAGGCCCTTTATGGACCAGGACTGAGAAGAAAGGGGAAGGAGAGCTTCTGAACAGCAGACCATGAAGCTAGCACCTGGGATTTCAGGATCCTACCTGTCTCCCCACTGAGGAAACAACCAGGGCATCTTGAAATTCTTCTCACATATTTGTATGTGGACAGAGGGTCCTAGGGCCCTGTTATTGTTGTGGCAGCAGACATGGACTAAGCCAGTGAGTTCTAAATTAATCTTTTTTTTTTTTGGTACCAGGAATCAAACTCAGGACCTTGAGCTTGCCAGGCAGGCACTTATGCCACTGAGCTATATCCCCAGCCTGCTAGGGCCCTGTTATGAAGGAAAGGGTGAAGGACCTATATGGGGAGGCTGGGGACACAAAACTGACTTTGCGTGGTTTGCAGGTTCACCTTGGGCTCACTCTGTCCTACATCATCTGCACAATGATGAGGAGTCCCAGGACAGCCAGGTCTGTCCCCCAAACCTAAAAGCCAAGGCTCCAGCCCCCCACACAGCTATTGTCCTGAGGTGGATAAAGCCTGAGCTCTGCTGTCACGTGGTCCTCTCCTCAGTCTTTCTTTCGCAGTCAGCGACATGAGTCTCTACTGAGGAAGGGCTGCAGGCTCAGTGGGTTCCAGCCTGGACTGCAGGCAGGCGTTCTGGGGCTGTGTCCTGTCCACACCAGAGGATCGGGTAAGGTGTTATAGCCTCATTTCTCTTTCCTAGACAACTTCCTGCCTGAAAGCCTTTGTAGAACAAGAAAGGGAGTGGAAGGTGGGAATGAGGACCACTGATTGGCTCATTCATTGGTTCTGACCGAGAAAGATAATTTAAGACATATTGTACTTCATACATAAGGTTTAAGTACGTAAGGTTTAAGACACATTGTACAAGCACCAAACAAAACAAATGTGAAAGGAATATCAAAATACAGACTAAAGTCCCCTAACTAACATTATTTGACATAGTAGAGGTCCTTCTGGCCAAAATTATTTACGACAGATAATTTTAAACTTGCAGGTGTTTCATAATTGCTTTTAAAGAGGAATATATTTTGGTATAAATCCCAAATAAAGTTAAAAATAAGCATAGTTTAACTAGGAAGCACAGCCTAGACTGATAGAAGGAAGAAAAGATGTCCAGAAATGAGAAAGATGATGCGGTCAGGGAAGGAAAATATGCCAAAGTAGGAAGGAAAATCCACCAAATCAAACATGGAGATGGGACTGAGGCAGATGCCTGCTAATCCCTTCAAGTGGAAAGAAAGACACAGTTCCATGTCAGTGGTGCGGCAGCACCCTTGATTCTGGGAAGTAAAGGGCCGGCCTGTGAGGGTTGGGGACCCATTTAGATGAGGATGGATTTGAACCCGAAAGTGACCTTTCTCACAGCACTGCAGAGTCAGCAAAGATTTTGGGGAGTGTGAAGAGCCTAAAAGGAAAAAGTTCATGTGCCTCTGACACTGAGATAAGCTGCCCCAGCACCCCTGGCCTCCAGGCAAGCTCTGTCTTCTCCCTGTCTCTCACCCCCACCCGTGTACGGGCCACCTGACTATATTTTGTGTAGTTTTCTTATTGCAGTGCTCACGTATTGCCCGCCGGCCTATACTACAGGCCTTCTAAGAGCAGAGGCCTCATCTTTGTTGTCCCCTGGAGGATCCCAGCATCCAGATCAGCAACTTACACACAATATACCCTCAGCATACAGCTGTTCAAGGAGCAAACAGCAGCCCTTCACATTCAGGCCTCAATTCCTCAGAGTCATGTTGGGCCATGAGTTAAACTGGGTTGATTTAGGGAGACTTAGCATCCAAAGGCAAAATTAGATAACGTCAGAAAATAACCCTAGGTACAAACAAGAATTAGAAAGTGAACTTTTTTAGCAAATGTTTATTTATATCAAAATACAAAACATTTTTGAAGCAGAGTAATGTTACATGAGGAGTAATTTAAATACTAAACTTTTTACTCAGTTTAATTCGCAACACTCCCAAGGGTACCTTCACTGGCTACACATCTTGTCATTTGATGCGCCGTTTATTTTTTTTTTCTCTCTTGGTTCACTTATGTACTTGTTCGCTCATTTTGATTTTTAATTCAGGATATGAACATGCAGTGTTACTGGCAATGAGTTGGTTAGTATTTAGCAAGCCTGAAAATACCAGCGAGTGAAGCCTGGCACAGCAGCCTGACCCAAGGAGACGGCAGATTCTCTCCCTAACTAAGTTTGGGGTGTCACTGTTTTTAACTGGCAAGGCCAAGGCCAAAGGAATCACTGTCACTGGTAGCCAGGGCAGGCATTATTGCTCAGGGCCACAGAGTAGTGTGACTGAGGAATCATCTCCAGGGGGCTCTTTTCTGTGCGTTGGGATGGAGCAAGATAGCCAATGGGAGCCCAACTGGAGAGTGGCAGCGACAGCAAGAAGGTGCAGGGACCCTGCAGGAGCAACTCTCTTCCCCAAAACCCAAGCAAGGGCTGGGGAGAGGAAAGGCTCCTCCCAGTCCTGGCAGTCTATGATTTGGTGGCCAGAGATGCCTGCCCCTTGGATGGGCCTTTTAGAAGTACTTAAAGTTTGGAGATTTTGAGGAAGAAGCACCTGGTTGAGAGTGTAGCTATTTCCTGTATACCTCCACTCCCTGACAGAGGAGAAACAGGAGACAGGAAATGGGAGGGAGCATGCCCCTTCGCCCCACTCCTGGGGCCCACCTGGGTCTCTCTTTCAAGCCCCAGTTGGTGCATTCACTTTGGCATTGTGCACCTATAAGCTCATACACACACACACACACACACACACATGCACACACATGCCACACACACCTAAATGCCTGGTTTCCTTTCCATATCTGCTCAGGTAGCAGGACCATGCCTATCTTTACCATCATCCTCTGCTCCCAGGGTCCCCTTGGCCTGCTAGTCCCCAATACCTAGCCCCAGGCTTGGCACATGCTGGCATTCCCAGGCTTTGAGAAGAGGGTGATGGAGCAGAGAGCGCCCCAGAGACAGGTTATACAGAGTGTAGAATGTTTGTATAAGGCTTAGGTACAGCACCGATTTAATGTTTTTGTAGTTTGCTTTCTAAGTTATCTTTTAGAAGAAAAAAAAAAAGCTTACTGAAAAAATAGTGTTTTTATTTACTTTTGAGTTACATACCTGAAGTTCAAAAAGTAAGCCTCTAGTCGCCATCCAAATTCACACTCAAAGGTGTTCTGTACACAGCTGTACAACATATTGGTTTGTCTTTAATTTGGAACCAAAGTCAGCCAACCAGTCAATACCATGAAGTCAGCAGCTCATGCTAACTGACTGTAACCAGTTCATTCATACAGAAAAGAGAGAGAGAACACAAATCTACTCCCAAGTCACCCACCCCAAACCCCTATGGGGAAAAAAAAATCAAAGATGAAATATAGCAAGATCTAAAGAACAGCAGGAGGAGCCAGTTCTACCCAGCTGGCCTCTCAGACAGCACCATAAAGCACCCTAGCACGGTGATGCAATATTCAACATTCAAGAAATGGAAACAAGGTTTGAAGAATCTTCACAAGAAAACCTGGCATGAATGGGGGAAGCCCCAAAGAAAGTTGAAGGAAGAAAAGAGACTTCGAAATGAGAGCAAGAAATCTCATGACGAAACCAAGAGTCAATCCAGACTCCTAAGAAAAGAAGAACCGAAAGCAGGAAGCCATTAGGCATCTGGAGGTCAAAAGTCTGCTGGGGGCCCCAGGGAGAGCGCTGAGATCTCCCCACCACACCCCTCTTTGCCCCTACCCTCTGCACATCCACAGACCTTGGGGTGACAAGAGGGGAGCCACAAGAACTGCCTCCATGTGTGATGGAAGAACCATGTCCAGGATGGCACGGTCCCTCCAGGTGGGAGAGTGTGAGTGGATACAGGGCCGAGAGCTGCTCACATAAGCAGGAGGTTGTCTCTCCTCCCCAGGCTGTGGACATGAACAGGCAACTGGTGACACACACCCCATCCATGGCCTCCATCTCTGGCCCATGAAAAGCAGTTCAGAAATTAAACCTGAATGGTACTTGAAGACTTTCTCAGACTCATGCATTCAACTTAGTAATTGGAGCATCAGATCTACCCTTCCCCTCCCACAACTCATCTAAGGCCCCAGCATCCAGCTCATTCCACAGTGCAACCTCCCAGTTCAGACTCCACACTAAACACCAGCAGAGGCCCTGCCCAACAGCCTGGCCACATCCCCCTTGACAGAAGTGCTGTGCAGTCCTGACTGTGTCCTTACTGCACACTTCCATGACTTCCAAGGTGGATCCATGTGACATCCACAGCAGAGGACAGAGATGACCCTGCCACAGCCAAGGGCAATGGGCAAGCCCCTCACTCGCCCGAGGCACCCTGTTGATAATGATGTGGAAACAACAGAGCCCACACTGACCCTTGGGAGAGCAATTCCCAGCAGATCTATCTACTCCACACTCTTGTTTCATGTGTCAGATAGAGGTAGCGAAACAAGAATTCTACATATTCCCCCCATCAACTTCCTACCAAAAGATAACAGCACCAAAATTCAATAACCCTTCCACTGTCTGGGGACTAAGAAATAATTCACAAGCATAGGGGGCAGCTCAGACTCCTGGTAGTGGCTGTGGGCCTCAAAGGCTTCATCAGAGGACCCCTCCCACCCACCTGTCCCATTAACTGAGAGGTTCAAAAACAGGACATCTTCCCACAGTCAGATGCCAAGCCCCTCTGTTCCTTTGTGAAAGGCTGGTTCTTCTGAGAAATGGGAGATTGATGCTGGGCTATCTGTCCCTGCCCCTCCAGTGCCCAGCCCTGCATCCTCTGAGAGCTGCGTCAAGGAAAGGGCATGGGAAAGTAACGTATCTCTCTAGACTCCAAGGTTTCAAGGTCCTTGTCTTCCCTGCTTTCTCCCAAATGAAGCACCCACTTGACACTGAGAAGTGGGATGGCAATGTGCAGGCTCTCCCAACCTCACACATCTTGTGCTGCTGAAGTTTCTATGGATCAAGGCTTTGGCTCACTGTAGAAAGAGATGGAATGTTGGCGGAACTGTGGGCCTCGTGGAATACGAGCCCTTTGAGGTGCCTGTGTGCTGAACTAACTCTGCAGGTTGCAGCTGACCAGGTGTGGGACAGAGTCTACAGAGAAAGAAAAGGTTGGCTTTAAGAGTCAAAAGCAGTCACAGAAACCCCTCTTTGGTAGCTGGGGAGGGGGTCCAAGCTGGGAAGGGACATAGAATTTGCTGGTCTTTCTCTTGCTCAACCTCCCAGAAAAACCTTGTAAGAATCACCTGGCTGCAACTTCTCCTGGCCTCCTCGGGAGTATATGGGAAAGACCAGTCATGCACCAATTGCAACCAGAGTTGCAGCCCTCCCAGTACACACAGACAGACCTGTTCTCCTGCTATGTCCTTAGACAATAGTTAATGTTTTGAACAATCTGGAGCCCCAGTAGCAATGTCCTAATGAATGGCAGGGACATATGAGGTCCAATAAGAATCAGAAGTTAGACTCAAGCTCCACCCCAACCTACTCTTCTCATAACACTCCCAAAATGCAAAAAGAGTCCTTCTCATGATTGAGGCACCTGAGTTCCTCAAATGGTCACAATCCACAGTCAAGAGCTCTTAAAGAGTATCACATTTTGGTTGAGGAAGAGGAGCTAGTGTTGCCATTTTTTGAGTTGCAAGCAGAAATAAGAGATGAGAGAGTGTAGTGACCAAGTCTCCCCAGGCTCCCTGCACCAGCTTCAAACACAATTTTCTGAGTACTTGGCAAGTCAGAGGAAGAGCTAGCACCGGAGCTGGCTGCTGAGGCTCCAAGGCGTGTTGCCTTCGCAGCATATATGAGGTCTTGTATTCTCAGAGAGGTATTCTTCAGCCCACACACACTTACTTGCTCAAACTCAAGTGGACCCTGCCCCCCCAGAATCTCCTGTTCTTGGTCACATTCTTCCAATACATTGTTCAGCTATGTAAGTCCTTAACTGGGTACCAGAAGGAAGGTCGCAGTAAGATTCAACCTCTCAGATCTGTCCAAAGTTAATCTCTCACTCCTGACTGTCCACTCATCATCCCAAGATTGGACCATCCATTCCAACAGCACTTTGTTTTCTATTTAAAATAAATGAAAATAGCATCAATGATACATTTATACTAGATATCACATTCACACTGGTTCCAAAAATCTGCAGTGATAATCCTCAGTATATCTCTTTTCCAAGACTGGGCCCACGCAGTCCACCTCACAAACTCTCACCACCATACTTCCAAGAGCTGCTTTGAGCCCAGGTGCTACAAATCAGGACAGTCCCTAAGTAATCTTGACTACCCCCCTTTACCAGCTACTGAGCTATATTCCTTCCAAGGAGCTAGATACCAGCACGCAGCCACACAGGGATGGATCCATAGCATTTCCAGTTCGCAAGCAGCCCTCCTGGATCAAGCACCTTACCACAGTGTCCCCTCTCAATGCCAAGAGATACTGGGACCCAAGTTCTCTGGGGTCATTGGATCCTACAACTCTCCACAGCTTGCACTTCACTTGTGCATCTACAAGTAAGTTATTTGTTTCATTTTAAAGTTTTTTCATATACACACACTTCAAGTAGAAAGACCCAAGCATCTCTGAACAGAGAGTGCATCCCGGGAAGGACGGAGAAGGAGGTGGCATCAAAGCGTGAGACAGTTCCCCATGTGGGAACGGTGACACTGCTCAAAGCATCTCTAAACACAGGTACAAAAATAAAGCAAACTATGACTTCATACAGATATATAGATAAGCTAACTAGATAGATTTTATATAGGTTTTCTTTATATTTGTATATGTATGAGGGGCACGTGCCCTGCACATTCTGCCCAGCTTGCATCTCTTGCTCATCTAGTCTCCACTCCATGAGGACCACTTGCCTGAGACTCCTACTGTAAGTCACTACTGTTGCATCTGATCCTCACCCCCCTGTAAGTTCCCTAACTCCTTAAAATAGAACAAGTTATCTATATTTATATAATTTTATATACAATCTCCATAAAAAATACACCCAACATGGTGTATTACTAATGTGACCCCGCTACCCAAGAAAGAGCCAACAAAAAGGAGGGTCTCCTAGGCCTGATACTGTTCAGGCAAAGCAGTGTGTCCCTACACATCTCTTACACACACACAACAGATGCACCACACACACCTCCACACACAGATTCCACGCACACACTCTTGCACACACCCACCACACACATTTCCTGAACCCAGGAAAGGAACACTAGAATAGTCAGCTGGCGAGGGTTAGAGAGCAGGGAGATGCCTCGCACCTGCAGAAGGACAGGTAAGGGAATCCAATTCCTCTGACCCAGCCAAAGACAATGTTAACTCAGGACGGACTGCTCACTGTCCACAGTAGCCATTGGAAATACTCATTGATACGGTGATTGAGTTTCCCTTTCAAGGATTGCAAGATGATCAGGAGGTTTAGTTCTTTCACCAGATAGAAGGTGTCATAGATTCCCTAAGCCAAAAAGAAGCAAAATACCACCAGGCCATCTTCATTGACATGAGGAGGCACTGGGCATTGGCCCCTTCCATCTACTTAGGTGAAACCCCAAACATAGCTAAAGCATGCTTGCAGTATTCCTAAGGCTGAAAAATGCAAATATCCCTCCCCAGACAACCCCAATACCCTCCCAAATTCCCTTCCCCACCCAACCACTTCCCTGTCCGTGCACAAGTTCAAGATCTCTGGAGCCATACAGAAGTGAGGGAGGGAAGGAAAGGGAGCCTAACTCTTGAGTGTACAGGGTACAGGGGGAGAGCTAGCTCTCATCCTAAAATAAATCCAGGAAATCCAGTGCTGGCGGCAGGGATACAGCATTGGTGAGACAGATTTCTTCAAGACTCAGAAGAAAAACAGGCTCAGAGAGATATTCCTGTCACCATGTAGAGGGATGGGAAAAGTAGACAACAAAGGACCAGGGATGGGAAGAGGCTTTGTGCCACTTTAGTTAACTCTCTAGCTTTCCCTGGCAGCATCCAAAGCTGTGGTGTCATCAGCTGTCTTCAGAATCCCTAAGCACTAATACTAACCTCTGCAGAAGAGAATTCCCAAGTAATATCAAAGACTGGCTGCTGTTCTATCAAAGTGTTTATCAGTCAAGACACTCCAACTTTTCCTCCTCTAAGGCATGGCCAGCCATTAATAGTATTTGCAGTAGCGCTTAATTTTTTCTTGACACAGAAAACGTGAGGGTCTACAGGTGTCTTTGGACCAGAAGTCAATAGATTGGGAATTTTTGTATCAGCTCAAAATGAAGGCCTGAAAAAAACCTCTACCCTCTTGGCAAAACAACACACAAAACATCTGGAGGGGGAAGTATATTTGTTCCTGAAAGACTTACCTAAAAGTATAGATAGGGGCCCAGAAATAAGGGTCTGGCCCTATGCAGATGCACTGTCAGAAGAGACACCCCTAACCAAACATCAAGTTGGTAAGAGTGCTGAAGTCCAGTCTTGGCTTTGATCCTTGGTTTACTGACTTCTTCTAAAAAGGAGATTTTTAATTCTGCCTCTTGATCCAAAGGGAAGCAGAGCTGGAGACATTAAGAAAGGAAGAAAGGCTGGTGTCTGATTTCAGGGTGGAATGCATTCCTACCTCAGCTGTAGACCGGTGACTAACTTTCAAAAGAAGAGAAAGTAGAGATAAAACGTCAAGGCCTAACCACTGCTCCATGGCCTGAAGGGATCCTCTGTAACCCAAGAAGGATGGCAAATGCAGAAGCCCAGCCCACCACTGTCACCAAGGACCTGTGAACACCTTCAGATGATGGACAAAGAGAAAGGCCACCTGCCACTTCTGCTTACCAGAACAAGCACAAGAAGCCCCTTAGAACAATCCTTCCTTTGCCACTGACCTTGAGCTAATGACAGACTGGCCATTTCAAGATGAGTCTCCCAGCTCTGGACCTGAGGGTACTCAAAAAAGAGATACACAAAGTTGAAGCACGTGCCAGAGATAAGCATGTCTGGGCACTTAGTGTCAGAAACTAATTCTAGAAGAAGCAAAAAGTCTGGCTAAGAAGCGGGACCTCTTTTGAGACAGTCCAAGCATGGATGCCAGCCCAGCCTCAACCTGTTCTCAGTGGCTGAATCCCCTCCTATTTCCGTCCCCAGGCTCTCTACTGTCATCTCTCCTCTACCTGCCCCTCTGCGAGCGGTCACTTTTCCTCCTTGGGATAATGCCCCAGTGTGCACACTACCCTGTCATTGTGTCTCAAGGAGAGTGGCAAGGCATGCTGCCCCAAGGCCCTGCTCCTCCCCCATGACAGCACCAATGCTCTACGCCCTTCAACCTCCCACCCTGGCAAAGGATCAGGCCTCTTCTTCATGTTTCAGCTCTCTAACACCTCCTCCTAAAACATGGTCAAGGACTGCTGGTCAGTGATTTTGTTTAACAGAGAGATAGCCACTGAGACCCCTCCTGAGCCCTCTCCCCAGCAGTACCAGAGCAGGACTCCAAGCCTCCATCTGCCTGGAGCCTGCATTGCCTCTGTTCTGGGGAAGAGACAAAAGGGCCAACCAGCAGTAATGCTCATAGCTCCCAAACAGTGGCAGGGAGCCTCCCCTCATTCCTGCCCATCTCTGCCCTTAAATTTTTTCCTGCTGCCCCCCAAATCTCTATAATGCCCCCTAAAGCTCCTTTACATGCAAACAAAGCAGTCCAAGATTAGCCATTAGGGTTTTTTCCTAGGGTTCTCTACATATTGATAAAATTTATTTTATCTACAATTCTTCCCCAACCCACACCAAAACCCCAAAAGACATTTGCTAACATTGGAAGAAAACTGTTCCAGCCACGCACACGTCAGGTCTGACTCAAATCCTGAGTGGTGGCAAAGATGCCTGATGTTCTGTGGCCTCAGTTTCTCTCCTGAAGCTGTTTGTCGGCCTTGCCAGAAAAAGAAAAAGGAATTCTACCCGTGAACCTTATCCAGTTTCCTGTGCAGGAAAAGCACAGAGGAATAAACAGCTGAAATCCATTTAACCCCAGATATTTTAGATCAGAAATCAAGATGGAGAGCATGGAAAAATACCAGCAAGCACCCTCCTTGTCCACTGCTGCTGGAGCCATCCCCCAGTGGCACAACTATGACCAGACCCTTAAGAAAGGCTCTGGCCTCGCATGGCCCTTGAGGCAGAGGCACTCCTCTTGTTGAGAAAGGAGGCATCTAGATGGCCTCTCTCACCCTGGTCTCTCCAAGAATACTGGGAAGAAAGGCGGGTCGTTAGGCACAGTCCCTGGCAGATGCTGCACCATAACCACCAAAGACCATCTACACATGGCTTCTGCTCCCAGCCATGAAGCCTGCTGGTGGTCAGCCAGCACATCAAGAAACCGAGTTCACTTCCTTATTGCTCACTACTTCCCTAAGCACTTTCAAGCCTCTTAGAGACCATCTTACTGTCTTCCTGGTCTGTGGACCAACTGTTGCCCCAACAGCCACTGTTGCCAGCCAAGATGCAGAAGAAAGCTGCAGGCAAAGAAATCCAAGATACAAGACAGGTTTGTTTCTTGTTTTTTTTTTTTGTTTTTTTTTTGAACTACATCTACTACAAAGCTACCAGATCCTAAAAAGGGAAGTCTGGAAGACTGATCTCCCACAGAGGAGAGGGTGAAAGTTCTAAGAGGCTTCATAGTAGTCATTGCCATGTTCCAAGGCAGAGCACAAAGGACACTGGCCCCTAGAAATGGATACACTCACCATACAGACTCGCATTCACATGTCCACACACAGCACTTAACAGTGTACCTGCGACACCTTCATCCTCTGTCCCATGGGCAAACAAAATTGGATTCTGTGAACTTCCTCTGCAGTCCTTAATTGAAGGACTGAAATCGCTTCCAGAGGTACAGAAAGGAGGCTGGCCTCCAAGGACACAGTCACAAGAAGAAAGACATGTTGGGAGGTGAATAAGTCCAAGGCCACCAAGGAATGGGTAGACCTTGTGTCCCTTCCCAGCTCTGGAGACTCACAGCAGAGCTGCCACCCAGTGGCCAGCAAAAGCACAGCTTCTGCCATTTGGTCTTATGTACTGAGGTAAGGGGCGCTGCTAGAGGCAAGGAAAGGAGGCAGGAGTCAGCACCTTTGTTAGCCCTGGGCCCAGGAAAGCCCAGACACGGCTACAGCACCTCAGCCTCAAGCTATGCTTCCTGGCCTGGTACAACATTCCAAGGAAGCAAAGCGTTCCACCTCAACTTCCCTTCTTTCCTCTCCTAACCTAAAGGCCCAGACAGCTTCAGGGCCTAAAATTCCCAGAAGGCTGCTCAGAACAGCTGCCTGAATTCATCCTCATGTCCAGCAGCCCTGACACTCCATATTCACATTCCGTCCCAGGCCCTGGGCTGGCCACCCTGGTGAAGGAATCACACACTCCAAAAGGGGAACAGAGGCCACAGACTGACCTGCTGTGAGCCCCACATCTCACACTGGTTGGCAGTTCAGGCAGGCCTGCTTCTGATGGCCCCTGGGAGAGATGCCCCAGGAGCAGCCCATGTGGCACAGTGGCAGTGGTAGCATGGCCACTGAAAGGAACACAGAGAGCTGCAAAACTCTACTCTTAACTTCGCCAGAGCTGCTTCCCAGTGGTCAAGTGCATTTCCATTCCCCAAAGGAAGGTATCTGCTGAAACATCTGGAGTGCACCCCAAAGGCCCACAGCTAGTCCCAGAATGACTGAAACTACCCTCTGCACCTCTCTCACCCATGTCCAGAAATGAGCTGTGGTGGCGTGGCTTGCATGGCAGAGCAAGTCCTCAGCTCACTAGGACAGAGAAGGAAGCACAAGGCCTGGCTGGCTGAGACAAAGTCTGTCCCCAAGATGGAAGCTCCAGCAAAAGAACAAGCCTCCCAGCCCTTGGAGGCCACACTTCACTTCGGTCACTGGGCAAAGCCACTGGTGGCTGCAGTAAGACCAGCAGAAGCCTTTGAGGCTTTGACATGGTCAGTGTCCAAGCAGGTCACTGGGGAAAGGTGGTGTCCCCACAAGACAGCAGCACTAAGAAGAAAACACTTCCAGAAACCTGGTGGCTCCTGCCATCCTAGGCCAGACCAAGCTACAGAAGAGGGGATGGCAAGCACAGCCACACTCTTCACCCTACCCTCGGCCCTGCACCCTGCTGGGAAGACACGGGTAGTTCTGAGCAGGAAGACTGCTTGAGGAAGTTTCTAGGTGCTAATGGTTTGAAGTAGGACAAGATTTTGGCAGAAGGACTGGCAGGCCCCAGCCTGCCACCCCTTCTACCTTTGCTCCTAAGCATCAGTCAGCTCGCCTGCGGTGAACTGGGAAGACACCCTCACTTTACTGGAGCCCATGCTACCAGAGTGCAGGTCCTGAGGATGGAGAGGACCGCAGGCAAAGTGGAACAGCAGGCAGCGCACGGCAAGGATGCAGAGAAGCCGCGGATGGCTCCGCATAAGTGGCAATTAATCAATCTGGAGAATTAGCTTCCACAAAAGGAAAGGAGGAGCCAATCAGCCGTGGTGGAGCAGCACCCCAGAGAGTGCTGAGCAGAGACAGATATAAATAGAGCTGTGGCAGCTCCAGGCTCCGCACAGGTGGCTCCAGATGAGAGGACCTTTGGCCGCGGGCTCCTGGACTGAAAGGAACTGAGGCATGGTCATGTGGACTCGGGCATATGCACCAGAGCCCGCCTGTCAGCCCCACCATGAGGCAGCTTCCACTTCTGAAGTGTGAGCCAACTGTGGAAGAAGAAAGACACTGGTCTGGCCCTGCGCCTGCTTACCTTTTCCCCACCAGTGACCGAGCAATCAAGGCTTGGTTTTGTTCAGCGGTAACTCACTGCTGAGCCCCTAGTCATAATCGTGGCAGGGCTCCATTTCTGCTCCGGAGGGGAGAAGCTCGAGAGGATGATGGTGAACTCAGCCAAGAGGCATGAACTCTGTTTCAGCAGGAAGTCCCCCGAGGCAGACAAGAGGGCACCCGGCCAACCGAGGCCACCCCCACTCACAAACCCCAGCTGTCCACTACTCCTCCTTCTCATGGACCACAGAAAGAAACAGCACTTTGCTCCAATGTACATATATATATATATATATATACACAGAGAAACCCACCAACTACATACATGTGCATTGTACCTATATCTATATATATGTGGAGTCTGGAAGAAAGGAGAGGTCCAGCCCTCTCCCAGGATGTGAAAAACTGAAACAGAAGCAGAGCAGTAAAAGCCATTGCTTTCCTCTTCTTCACTTCCAAAGACATTTGAAGAGGTGAGAGTATTCCATCTAAGTGACGAGGGGGAGGTGGGACAGAGCCAGACGACTTCCTGTCACCCAGTCACTCCCTGACTCTCACCCACAGGCAGAAGGTCTGCCCAGGCCTCTGTCCTGTGGACAAGGCCAGCTGGCCAGGACCTGGGGGGAGAAGAGGCACGCAGGAGAGGGAGCCATCCCTCGGTGGACAGAAGAGGACATGGCCCACGCAAAGTCTCTCCCCAGCCCTCAGCCCTACAGCCTGCCCTAGGGACACTCAGAGTGGTATGGAGTCATAGCAGAGTGGCATGGCCTGGGTCATCGTGATCCACGCTGTTGAGGATCGCCGTCTGGTCTTCTGGAAGCTGGCGGTGGCACAAGTCTGACAGCCGGGCAAAGGGGTCAGGACGAGAGTGTCTCTTCTTCTTTCGGAGGCAGACAGCTTCGTCGGGCCACAGAACCTGAGAGTTGGGACGCTGCTGAGCCTGAGAGGCAGAACCGTCTAAAGATAGGAAACAGACATACAAAAGAAAAAAGAGAAAGGGAATGAAAAGGCTGTAATGTACACTCTGAGCTTCTAGTGCTGAAACAAGAGATCATCTCCGCATGTGGGAGTCAAGACCAAACCACTGCAGAGAATGCACCTCTTTGATGGCTGTGAGACAGCCAGCCAGCCCTGCTGCCCTGTTCTAGAGTCAGGGAAGGCAGGTGGACACAATTCTTTTTTCTGTAAATTCACAGATCTCGCCGATTAATCTACAAATATTTCCTCTGAAGTGTCTCTTGGGTACTGGGCATCATTGTAGGTGCCAGGAATCAGGGCTTCTAAGAATGGGTGGCGACTCTACATTTTCTCACTTACCCCAAGGAATAACAGATTTTAATGACATACAACAGAGTCAGGGCAGGACCCTGCCTGGCCTGCAAGGGCCATTCCTCCACCTCGTGGCCTTGCTAGGGATACAGAAGTAAAGACTTTGCTTTCTGGGTGATATTTTAGTATATAAGAAAGGAGGAAGAAGCAAATTGTCAAAACGTAAGAAACACAGAAATAAAGTTTTCAGATGTCAAAAAAGCAACAAAGCAGGTTAAATAGGGTCAGTGATAACCGATAATCTAGGCACTGCTCCTGCCCCCAAAGGGACACCCTTTGAAGATGTCTGGGATTCCAAGCTTTCCACATATCTGAGGGGAAATTATTTTGGTCAGAGGTGTGTGTGTGTACATGTGTGCACACCCGCACATACTTGGTTCCATTCTCTGGGGCTATGGACCCGCTATAGGAAGAGCAGGGTAGGGTGCCAGGGCCACCACCAAGTTCTGCAGCAGCCCAGGTGGGAAACGAGAGTTCACATTGCAGCTTTTGTAGTGTAGACAGCAAAAGTGGATGATTCTGGACATGTCATAAAGGCTGAGCCAACAGACCTTTCGAAGCAGATTAAGGGTAACTGAGAGGGCAAGAGAAGAATGCAAGAGGAAGACACCTCAGCAACTCGGTAGGAATCAGTGCTACTTCCTAAGCTGGAGAGGACAGGTGAGGCAGATTTGTGAAGAAGATAATTCACAGTTCTACTTGGGACATTTCATAGGGTGATAAAACAACTAAGTGCACACTCAGCAGTCAACTGAAAATATGAACTTGACCTCAAAGAAAATACTTCAGCAAGGACAGACATTTGAGAGCTACCAGGACAAAACAGGTACCAGGACCACTGTCACTGCGATAGAGAACATAAGCCTCCATTGTAGCTTATTTTGCAATAAGCAAAGACATATTACTTATGACAAATTAAAGTCAGGCACCACCTAACAGTAGCATTTGTTGATGGCAGACTCTCAGATGATGCCATGCAGTGACATCCTGGCCATCCTAGTTTGTGTAAGTACACATTCTTCAGAATGTCCTTATTAACCGACATATGATTAAACACCTACTCACACATACATGTAAGACAGATAGATAGATGGATAGATAGATAGCTCTTACACTGAAATGTGTTTAAGTCAGTGGAAAATTCAGCTTTGGGCTCCAATTTTTCATCCAAGCTTTAAAATATCCATTTTCTTTTCTCTGCCTCAATATTTCCATCCATAAACTGGCAGGAAACTGTTGCCACCCAAAGGGTAAATCCTTGATCAACCATCACTATCTCCCAATAACTCAGTAAGCTTCACCTCTGTGTAACACTTTTTTCCACAACCCCAACTATAAGGAAAGTTACTCTACAGTTGTTATCCAAGATCTACAAGGGAATGGTGAGCGTTCTTCCTTGACAGTCTGCTATAATATTTCTAAAACCACTGACAGAGAGCATTTGATAAATATCAAGGAGTTTTCTGAAAGAGGACAGAGTTATTTTTATACGGTACTTAAAGCCACCAATCACCACTGGATAACCATGAGACATACTTCAACAGAGTTGCCCTTTAGGAGAGGAAGACATCACTATCTACAAAGAAAAGTCTGGGCACCCTGCAGAGGGTGGCCCATGCTACATGTACCCTAAGCTCCATCATTCCCATGTCAACTAGAAGCTTGAAGTGATAAAAGAGAAATAAATACATAAGGAGATTGGGACATTGTTAAGGTGTGCTGTATAATGGGGAAAAGATATATACTATTTACATTGTTAAAAAACACATTAAACAATCTCCCATATTTTCTAAAGCTGCACAGCAGAAAAGGCTCTGCAGGCACACAAAGCACAGAGCGATGGTTCCCTGGTTGGGGGCAGGGGCTGGGAGGGGAATGCAATCAGATTTTCACCTTTCTTGCTTTCTACATGAAAATCGCTTGTGACTACTTGAAAATGAATGGCTAAAAGGAAACCAAGAACAAGAGAAGTTGGTGGATTCAATTCTAGGAAACCCCAGGCTGGGAGCCTGGGCCCGACAATCCTCATCCTTAAGGACAAAGCAAGGTGGAAAGAGAAGCGGCCACTTCCCACCATTTACCGGATCGTTTCTTTGACTTCGAGGAGCCCTTGGATGACTTTTTGGGCTTCTTTATCCGTTGGTATTTCAGAGCCTCCAGCCTCTCAGGTGCAGCAGCATTCCCGGGAGCAGGTGGGAGTATTCTGCAAGGGACAATTAGAGAGGTACAGGTCAGCTCCCAGATGGGGGAGCTTGGAAGAGGGACTGGAAGAAAGCCAAAGAGCCAGCCTGCAGAAGGACGGAGCGCAGGGGACGGAGTCCAAGGTGTCCACTATGGTCCCTTGATGCCTGCCTTGCTATTGCTCCTGGAAGGGAGAAAACCCAGAGACCTCCAGCAGCGGTGGCCTACCTCAGGTGGGAACCAAGCTGTAGAGTGATGAGAAGACCCTAGGAAAGGGAGAGAGAGACTTTAATAATAAGCCCCATCACATCACTCAAGCTGGGGTGAGTAAGTGCCAAAGAAGCAGGCGCAATGTCTGCAGTTCCTAGAAATCATCACAATTAAGACCTTCAACTGAAAAGTAAAAGGGTAGATTAAAGCAGCAGGCAAGCAATTCCAACCCCACTTAACTGTCCTCCAGCCCCCAAAAGAGGAAGGGCCAAGTGAGAACTTAACTGTCCTCCAGCCCCAATGCCCGCATCAATGGAAACTCCATAAACCCAGCTTCACTGGATCTTCCCACTGGTCCAAAAGATGCAGCTGGAACCTCCGCAGCTATGGCAACAAATTCCTGTCATAGGCCAACAGAGAAGAAGGGCTGCCTACTTGACCCTCTGCAAATGAGGCTGATATGCTGGGTCTTGTAAGAAAACAGAAGAAGGAAGAAGATTATCAAAGATCCAGGGAATGCTACATGTTAACACTCAGCAGAGATGCTGAGGCTGCTGGGACAGAAGACTCCTCTATGCAGGACGCCCTTTCTCCACCCCCGCTGGGGAACAGATGTCATCGTTTGCCTGATGAGCCAAATGCATAGTGAAAAAACAGTCAACTATATAACCAGAGTCCTGCACCCATGTATCACAGGGGATTAAAGCAAGCTGAGAGGGCAGTAGTGTATGGCAAGTGTGAATTTGGAGAGAACTTTTCAAGAGTCATGAAAGAAGAAAACCCGGCAGAATGTTATCCATATCAATTCTTCTCAAAGTAAGGCAACTGCGAGCCTGAGGAGTAAAGGCAAAAGCAAAGGACATGGCACTGTTTCTTCCCACCAGCACATAGCGGCACATGACTGGAGAAGTAGGGATGTACTGGGGTTACGGCAGATGGAGGTAACAGGTTCTTTCTTTCCTCAAAACCCACCATTCCCTCCCCCATCTCCACTACAGTTAGGTTTTGGTAAGCCCTGATCAAAAGATGAACAACCTCTGAGGACTAAGTAAAGGTCAGTGAGCCACTGACCTTTACTGACCTTTACACCCCAAAGGTCAGTGAGCCACCTGAAGTCATAAAAAAAATAAATAAAGATGAAGACTGCAACCCCATCTCCACCGCATCAAAAGTCTCTGCTAGCACAAAGAAGAAACTTACAGACATCTGGAGTTAAGCTTCTGGTCTCTGCAGTCTCCTGAAGTCACTGGCAATGGAGTAGCCTCCACCTTCTTGGAGAGCCACCATTCTAGTGTCTTTCAGTGCATAAAGTATCAAGAAGCTCCCTTAAAGTCCGAGACATCTTCTTGACTTCCACAGCCCCCTGACAATAGCTCTAAGCACCCCATTCAGACCCACACACCTCGTGGAGAGGTAGTTCAGCTCAACAACAGGTCCTTCCCCAAAGACCCAACATACCAATGGCCCATTCCTTCCTCTTCTACAAAGCACCACAGAGATCGATTGTGGCAGCGACCACTAGAAAGGAATTTGAAAGGCAAAGGGCAGAAGGGAGCCTGCCTTCCTGAGGGTTAGGTGAATGTTCCGAACCTTTATTGGCCAACTTACCCAACAATCTGACTCTAATACAGGGCTTCTTCATGCTGCCTAAAAGGAAGATCAAAGGTATGAGTCCACCTGTTTGTTTTCCTCACCTGCTGGTCCTGGCCAGCCTCAACAGAAAGACTATACAAGCTAAGCAATGGGTGGTGTGAGGCGGCATATGACAGGCAAGGACAGTGGCCGCCAATATAGCCCTGGATGACACACAGTTACAACACATTCTCAAGTATCCCCAACCAAAAAGCAGAGGCACTTCCTCCTTTCCTTAACCGCCTGAAAGCAAACTCCACTTGCCTGGTGAGATACAATGGGTAGGAGGCAGAGGAAACTCACTCGTGTACTTGCAACAGCCAGGGAAAAGACGAATCCACTCTCCCTGCACTGCATAGAAAGCCCGGAGTTTGCAAGTCAGTCCCAACCAGCCTACAACAGATGGTCCCCTCTCCAGTGGGGTCAGCACACAGCAAGAAGCTATACAGGGTAGCCCTAAAAATACCCAGTCAGTCTTCAAACCAGGTGAAACTTCCAGGGGAGTATTACTGTTATAACCAACATATGATTACTATTACCATTTTCATCATTAACATGTGTTTACCACTTACCAGGCTGGGCACTGTGCTACATTTACTACAATTGACCCTAACATCCACAAGAGGACTGCAGAGGTGAATACAACATTGATCCCATTTTTTATATGGGGAAACTGAAGTTCAGAAAAGTCAAGCAACTTTCCCAACAATCTGACTAATATTCTGCTAAAGTGCTCTTCAATTTTCTTCCCATAGACACAGGTGTAGAAGCTACACTAGAACACTGCTCCTGCACTACACCTGAGAAATAAAGCTGTCTTGAGGAGCACATGCTGATGTCTTGTGCCTCAACGGCAGAGCCCGAGTCAGTAAGACATACCAGGAGGGGCGAAGCCAGCTGAACTTATGGCTTTGGAGGCAAAAAATTCCCAAACAGTGAAGATCCACAGAAGACAAGAAGCCAATTTTCCCTTGAGAACCAGCCAAACTCCGGCCCTTCCAGGACACCTGCTGCCCACCTATTTCAGCTCCTGGCTCAGCACTCAAACACTGCAATGTGACAGGAAAAGAAAGGTTCCCAGATGCACCAGGACACTTGCCTGATGCCAGAGGCAAAAATAAAAGCAAGTGTCTAGCAGGACAGGTGGAAGGAAGGGGCTGAGCAAAATGGGTCTATTTTTGGTAAATTATACAGCAAAGATATGTGAAATATGTTCCTTCAGACTTTCTCAACAGTATGGAAAGCCCATTGAAGCCAAACTCCCCTTTTAGGAAGGATGACCATGTCCCTGTCAATACCAAGCCCAGCTGGAACCTTTCTGGTTATGAAGCTTTTGCTGCTGATGTCTAAGATAAGAAGCTGGGAAGAAGCAGCTCCTCCTAACCCTAGAAGAAAGCTGTGAAGTAAGCAGAATCTGACCTGCGGAAGGCTGTTTACAACACAGCCTGCCCATGGGCACTCCAAGAAGCTGAGATCCAGATCTCCATCCTACCAGCCCAATTCATCTGAACATGCAGGAGCACTGCAAACGCTGGGCTTCTCTTCTCACATGGAAAGATGAAATTATCAAAGCTTATGGGCTTTTCTGGGTCCACCCTTCCCATGTATCCCCATTTTCTAAATATTAAAACTTAATTGCCTGGAATTAACTTCAGTCTCCCCTTCACAGGAAGTCTTACTGGCTTAGCTCTCTGCTTACCTAGGATAACTGAGGAAAGAGGCAGCCAGACACAAAGAGGCAAACCTCAGGGCAGGAAAGACAAAACCCACCTGTATACATCTTCCCTCAATTCCCTGGGAACTAACTGTTATGACAAAGTTCTTAATCATCCTCCAGCCAACAGGTAGAGGCAGTGACATAAAGGACACTTCTTTCTCCTTTCCTTCACTGCTTGGAAGAAAATTCTACTTGCCTGGTGAAATATCGTGGATGGGAGGCACAAGGGACCCACTCATGTGCATGCTCTGGCCTTGGGAAAGGTGAACCCATTCTCCATGGACTGCAGGTCAGCCCCAATCAGCCTCCCACAGATGGTCAGTGCATGAGTACTCTGCCTCAGAACCCAGAAGAGGCTCAGGTCCAAATGGGAGTTCCCTCCTATGGTTGGCCTAGGAAGAGGGGGCTGCCTCTTTCTTGTGGAGCCCAGTGTCATGGAGATCACAGCAGATACCAAGGGAAAGGGCACCAGATGGAGATGTACAGGTAGGGGTGCATCAGAGGGGGGCTGAGCAATGGCTCAGCTCCCAGCCATCCACAGAAGGTCCACGCAGCACAACTCCCCACACTGAGACGGGAGTTGGGAAGAATTAAAAACAGGGAAAGAGAACAGAGGAGAGGTGGGGAAAACAACAACAGGTGCAGGCAGAAGGAACAGGAGACTTGAAGGGGAAGAAACAGCGAGAACGGATGTAGACAAGAGGCGGCACAACTTCTCCAAGCAGGAGGGAGAGGAAACGCATGCAAAGGGACGGCATGGAGACAGTGTTTGCACTGGCGCCGTCTCCCCATGGCCCCAGCAGCTCTTGCGCCCCAGGGAGGCTCTTAGCAAGCAGGAGAGTGAGCAGAGGCTCCCGCTGCCCCGCCCGTGAAGGTCTAACTCAGAGGGGGAGGGAGGACTGGCTTCTCCTAGGCTGGGGACGCTGGCCAGGCCCGGGACAGGAACACAGTCCCTCGTCGCTGCCCCTGGTTTCTGGGTTTGCCACAGCAGTGGTGGGGTAGCTGGGTTCTCTCAGACCCAGTGCGGGGGACACTGGAGAATGTGGGTGTGGTGGGGAGGGACAGAAGGGAGGTAACAGGTGGGAAGAGAGTTGAGGCCCTTGGCGAAAGCTGGGGTGAGAGCAGGTCCCAAACAATCATGCCCCTAGGGGCAACAGATGAGTCCTACCTGGGAGGCCAGGAAGGAAAAGGGCAGCTTCCACCCCTCTCCTCTGCAGGAGGCTGCAGGAGGCGCTGGGGCAGGGAAGCTCATAACCCGCCTCTGGTCCTTGGGCTCCTGCCAGTGCTTGTGGCTGCAGCGTGACACCAGACAGCCTCACACACAGTTCTGGGACTTTGTGGCCATTGACAGTTCTAAAAGGCAGCTGTCCTTATAGAAGGCCACTGTTCAAAGTGAGATTTATGGCCCTGAGTTAGGAGAGTCAGCTTCCCGGGACACAGCGAGGTGGGAGGGATGCACCCAGATGGAAGGCTCCACTCTGCATCCAGACAGTGGGGCAGTGTGTGTGCTCCAGAGGCACGGGCACAGAGACATCTCTTTGTGCCACTCTGAGCCTCTCTGTGAGAGAGCTCATGGCCCCTACAGTGGCCATGTCCTTGTGGCCCCCCCTCCAAGGATGCAGAGTGAGAGTCAGCTGCTCTGGGGTTTGAGGCATGGTGGTGCTGGGCTCTTTCCTCTCAGCTCCTTTCTGCCTTGGAAACCTGCTCTCCCTGGGGGAAGCTCCTGCCAAGACCCCTTAAAGGTGTCACTCCGGGAGGGCAGCAGAGCTACTGGAGGGACAGCCAAGAACCTGTGACAGGGTGCAAGGAGCATGAGCACTGGTGACATTTGTCACCCTTCCCCCAACAGGACCAGAGCCCACCTGACACTGAGGAAGACCCACTTTATGGGGGACAGACTCCTTGAGATGACCTAGAATCACTGAGATCCAAAGAATGGGGTGAGGGACCACAAGCCCAGGGGAAGAGGCGTCTGGGGTAGGTGAGGAAGGGGGACTGTGCCTGAGGCTGCTGGGAAAACAGGCAGAACTGTAAGGGGTGGTGAGGGAGGAACCTGCACATTTGTGTGTCTCAAGACAGGGGTCTTGAGAGTGCAGAGGCAAAGCCGATCGTGGGCATTCTGGGTCCTTCAGGTGCATGCAGGGTCCCAGGCTGCCAAGGGAGGCTCCAGTATGGGCAGCAGGATGGAGGGGCTGCAGGGGCTCTGAGAGGGGCCGATGTGGGCTGGGAGGCTGAAAGCTGCAGCCAGGTGGTGGCAGCCGTGTCCCGGTGGGCAGCTGGAGCAGCTGGACAGCATGATGTGGGGAACCCAGAAGCCATGGGAATCGAGGAGCGGCAGCTGTCCCCGTGGGCGGTGAGGGGATGTGGTTTGGATCCCCTGTCAAGGAAGCGATGGCCCTGCGGAAGCCCCGTCCGCCTGCCCGCCCCCACCCAGCCCAGCCGAGGAGCTCCCTTACCTATTGAGCTGAGGAGAGGCTTGTCTCGACAACACTGCCCAGATAGCTGAGATCAATCAGAAACAAAGCAGTTACCAACAAGGCTGGGGGAACCACCCACGCACGCACGCTCACACACCCAGAGGGGAGGAGGGGCACAGTGAGCAGAGACCCACAGGCGAGGTCGGAATATGGGCGAGGGAGGAGAGGAGAGAGACAGAACCAGACGGCACGATGGAACAAAGCATGTGAGCGTGCTGCACGAAGCACAGATAGGGGCGACGACAGCGTCCTGCAGACAGAGGAGGGCGCCCTGCTAGTGCTCTCCTCCACCCTGCCATGCCCTCTCTACCCACACAGCACCCACCTAGTGGGTACTGAGGGTCAAGGTGACCTCACCCTTCCAGATGCCACAGAAGGTGGGAGGGGGTGGGGCAGGGAAGGACTCAGTTCCTCCTCCAGGGCCACCGCGTCCCCTCCCACCAGGCCAGCTTCCTCTGGAACTGCTGCTCTCCACAGGATGCTACATCCAGAAGAGACCAAAATACAAACCAGAGAGGGGAGAGGGAGGGAGAAGAGAGGAGGGCGCGGACCGGGTTGGGTACTAGAGTGGTGGCCGCTCTTTCGAGCAAGTCAGGTGCACCCGAAGGCGATGGAGAAGGAAGAAGGCAGGCGAGAGACTAACTTGAGAAGGGAGGATGGGCAAGGAGGCAGAGGAGGGGACCGGAAGGCAGAAGAAGAGGCGCAGACGGGCATCCAGGCCGCTCTGGTACCTGGAACACCAGCTGCTACAGTTTAGAGTGAGCTTTCAGGCAGGCTGATCGCAGGGGCGTGTCTGTCTGTCTGTCTCTCTGCAGCTTCCTATGAGGTACACAGGTGTGTGGGGGATGTGGCTCCCAGCACACAGACCTGAGATTTCCCTCCCATCCCATCCTCCAGGATGCACCATTCCTGAAGAGGCTGTGGACGGGACCAGGGTCCAGCACCCACTCACTAGGGCAGCTGGGGGCAGGAGTTGGGGAGCAGGTGGCTCCTGGCTCCAGGGTCCTTCTTCGTAAGGAGGAGGGGCCAAGGAGAGGAGGAGGCTGAACACAAGGTCTGTGGGCAACAGCAGGGAACCTGTGCCCAACAGCAAGATCACAGGCAGGCACACAGAGGGCCTCGGTCCCAGGGCACCACTCCAGGTCCCTCTCTGATTCACCAGGGTTCCCTGTCTTTCCCACAATCCCTGGTAAGCACTGGACCTCCTTCAAGCTCAGTGCTGGGGGGACAAGATCCCTCCCACTCCTGGTGGGCACATCTGAGCCCACCCTGGTCCCACGACTGAACCCTGCCAACGCAGCAGCCAGTGCTCCTGTTGAAGGGATGCCGCGGCATGTCCACACAAGCCCTGCCGTGGGGTGATGGAAGGTCGTGGGCAGGGTGAGGCACGGGGGAGGAGGTGGACCAGGAGATGTGGCCGGTGGCGGCAGCTCACACTCACCCTGAAGTAGGTAACGTTGTTGGGGGCTCTGGTCGGAGCAGCTCCTCCCCCATCCTCCGGGGGGAAGGTGTCTGTCCAAACACATCCAGGTTGTCCCCAGGCGCTGCGGGGGCAGGGCCCGGTGGAGGGGAAGGGTAGCCTGTAGCCAGAGTGGTGAAGCCCATGGCGGGCCGGTAGCTGGGGCTCCCGCTGCGGCTGCTCTGGGAAGGGGAACCTGTGGATGGCGTGGACTTGCGAGAGAAGCTGACCGCGGCTGGCGGTTGTAGGGTGATCTCTGACATCTCTGCCTGCTGCAGGAGACCCGGACGTGGCCGAGCTCGAGCAGCGAGCTCAGGTGAGCCAGTGCGGGAGCTGAGGGGGCTTTGGGTCAGAGGTGAGAGCCGGGAAGGCTGTAGCACCACTTGATGTAAACTGGGCTCGGTGCGCCGGGCCTGCCGGGGGCTGGGCCGGGGCCGGGGCTGGGGCTCATACCACCGAGTGTCCAGGCCAAATGTGCTGGGGCCACCATGCCCCCCCGGCTCAGCTGGCTCGGGGTAAGGCAACACAGGTATGCCCATACCTTGGCTGGTATGTCTCAGCTGCCCTTGGCTAGCCAAGGGTTGCACAGGTCTGTCCTGCCACTTGGCGGTGGGGGGCGCCGGGGCAGGGCCCCTGCCAGGAGATTTGCCTGCCCAACTCTTGGGCGCCTCCAGAGACAGCATCCCAGGGTAGGCTGCAGGTACCTGCAGGGAAGTGGGTGGCAGTCCTCGGGGCAGGCAGGCCTGGGGCTGCAGACTCTCAGCTACATCCCGAGGGTGCAGCTGGTGGGGGAACATCATGGCTGGGGCTTCCAGGCCCCCAAAGGGGAATTCCGGCCGGCCCCAGGGCTCAGGGGAGCGCCCTCCCGTAGGTGTCTGAGTCAAGGGCAGAGTGCTATTGGAGGCATTTTCTCCGTTCTCCTCTGGGATGGTAGGGTGGCCAAAAGGCCCCTCGCCGTGCAGGGGTGGGGATGACATGACTGAGCTCAGGGGGCTGCCCACTTCTGGCATGTAGAAGGGTGGTGGCTCCACTTCCCCAGGGCTGCTGCTGCTGAGGTACCCATAATACTGGCCATGGTGGAAGGGCCTGGGCACTGGGGGCCTCGCCTGGCCCGTGGCCTGCAGCCGTCCTCCCAAGCCGCTGGGGCCCTCAAGGCCTCGAGGCTGGAAGCGAGGACTGTATGCTGGTGGAGGCAGGTAGGACTCCTGGCTGGAAGACAGAGGTGTCAGCTGAGGCTTCAGGGCAGCCACAGATGTGGGCACGAGAGGGTCTTCGTTCTCCTCATCCGACTGCCGGAACTCAGGGTACATGTCTGTCTCCTCCGCAAAGGGAAAACCCTCGATGCGCCGGGTCTTCATTGAGGGTTCGATCTCGGAGGGGTCCATCACAAAACGGCCATCAGGGCCTCTGCTGATCAGTTCAATGGGAGTGGTAGCCTCGGCCTCGGCCTCGGCCTTGGCCACACTGTACTTCTTGCTGCTGATGGCTCTCTTGGTTTTCTTGTACAGGGACAGCTCCTTCTCCCGGGTAGGGCTCAGCATCCTCTTGGCTGCAGGCTGGCCCTGGTCATCAGAGGACTCGGATGGGGCGCGGAGCGTGCGGATGCTCTCTGGACTCACCTTGCCAGAGGACAAGCTGTGGGCAGACAGCAGGGCAATGTGGGTGCTGTGCAGCACCCACAGCTTCTTACCCTCTCAACGACACTAATGCCTAGGACAGCGATGCTGAAGGAAGGCCTAAGGGGCCGCATGCTGCGGTAAGAAACACTCTGACCGGGACCGGCAAGGTTCTCTAGAACACACCGTCAGCTTTTGGAATGAAGAAGCACGTGGCTCCTTCTCCACAGCCCGCCCCTTGTCATACTCTGTCTGAGCACCCTGCCAGTGTCACTTCAAGGTTGTTCAAGGAACACAAGCTCATTTTAAGACTGACTTAAAACATATTAAGAAGGTGAATCTTCTAGGACGATAAAAATTATAGAAAAACATCACAAGGCTAAAGAGAAACGAAAGACTCACAAGTTCGGGCTACCTGCATTGCCACTACCTTGAGCTGCATGCAGCATTCAAAGCAACCGCAGCCCACTTTACAGGGAACGACTTAGAAGCGTGGAAATGGGGCCAAGCGCAGGGACGGCCCCCCAGTATCCGGCCTCCCCCAGCCACCACACCCCACCTGAGACACTTACGGAGACTCGAGACTCTTCCTGCAGTGGGTGATGGACAGTGGAGGATCTGCAGGGAAAAGCAGGAGGGAGCCCACTGAGGTCTGACCCACAAAAGTCTGGCCCTGACCCATGGGTGTCAAGGGCAAAGCCACAGAAGGAACCAATTTGTGAGTGTGGTACCGCGTGACCAGCTCAGATGCCTGTGCCGGCCACCGGACCCACCCATCCCCACCACCCACTTCCCTCCCTCAGGCTAAACAATTCCCACGGGCAGTTCCACCTGCAAGATCAGTTTCTCTACTTCCACTCCAGGGGAGCCTGTGCTGCCAGCGGTCATCCCTCCTCACAGGGAGCACTTGAAACAGGGCCAGGTGGAGCGGGGGAGTCGGCACACACCCACCTTTTTTTCGCTTGAGTTTGCGCTTGCGTTGCTTGTTGACAAAGCAGGCGGCCAGAGTGCTGAACAGGATGGCGGCTGCCAAGAAGCAGATGGTAGCAACGATTCCAGCCAACACAGGCCGGGCCAGCCCATCCTCAGTCAGGTCCGGCTGCGGGAAGATGTCTGCAAGGAGGGTCGGAGTACGGGTGAGTCTCTCCCTGCCCCAGCACCCTCCCCTGCACACACCCCACAGTGCTCGGGCTCAGCCTCCACGCTGGAGCCACATTGAGGAAGGGAGACGGGAGAGTCTGCACAAGCCAGATAACCTCTGCAGGGCAAAGGAAGGAAGGGTGCCCAGGGCATTTCCCCCTGGGGAGAGTCACTCAGTCATCAGCAGTAACTGCCCGGCACTCTCCGTGTGCAGAGAGCTTGTCGCGGCTTGTCAGATCTTCTCATTAGCCCAAGTGAACAGCGCACACGAGCTACTCTCAGTCTCTCATGCAAATGCTGGACCTGCTGAGTGTGAGCAACTCGCCCGGGCCACTGTCAGCACCCTAACCGGAACCCCACCGTCCCTGCTTCACTCTGGGATTTTCTGCCTTCCCCCTTGCACCCTGCACCACAAGAGCCCAGAGATGAAGGTATCTTGAGAGCAAAGTCATAGAGCATGGACAGGGATTGTTACAAAGAACTCAGTTAAACTCACTGTTTAACTGTCACAGGGTAGCCATGCGACTTTCTACAGCAAGGGCTGGCGGTCCCTGGCTATCACTATGGAAGATGCTCCAGGGGCTGGAACAGTAGAGATGGGACCAGTGCTCCCATTTCACAGGTAAAGACGGCATTTGTGCCAATTCAGAACCAGTAAATGGCAGAGCCAGGACTCGGCCCTGTCTGCTGTTCCAGACTCAGGGCACTTCAGTCAGTAAGTGCCATGTGCTTCGGAGTCCATCAAAGGGAAAATGGGTGCATTGTGATACACTCTGCCTATGTGCGTTGCTGTGTCAATGATAATGGTTAAAAATAATCCAAATTGTGCTGATGAGCTGGGAGGAAAATGAATGCCACGGCCCTTGGGAATGGGAGCCTTAACTCTGGGGAATGCTGAGGTGGTCACGCCCTGGCTGGCCCATAAGGAATCATCCAATGAGGCATGATCCTTCCAGGAGCTGAGCATAATGCTACCGAACAGAGAGCAGTTCATGGCAGTGAACCCACAAAGCGCTGCGGTGCCTGCCCTCTTCCTCGTTCCTCCTCCTGAGTGGACGCCCTGAAAGGGAACCTCACAGAAGCGAGCTGAGTTCTGCCTACAGAGGTGCTGTGTTTTACCAAAAAGCTCCAGGGTGCCTAACAGGAGACTAAAATCACACTCCCCCCACTCATGCTCCCTGGAGCCTGCAGCCCTCCCCCTCCCCACGTCAGCACTCGCTGCATGAGTTTTTTGGCCAAGATCCATGCCCCCGGGCCACAGAGGTCTCAGTGCACATAATGCCCACAGAAACGGTGCCATTGCTGGCTTACTAGGCAGGGGCCACTTCCGTACCAAGAATGCTACTTCCCTAGGGGAGGGACCTGGCTATGTTTCGGGAACTGGAGCTGGAGAGAAGACTTGTAAAAATGGGACCAGTGCCAAGAGAAGGAATGATAAATGGAGAAAAGGGAGTTGGGCTTTATTTAGCCTGAAAAAAATCTAGGGAGAGGAAGAGAGGAAAACAACTCCAAACAACAATTTTCCAGTAAAACCCACATAATTACAAAGAAGCCTATAACAGGCATCCCATAAACACTTGTTGACCTGCTGTCTCCTATCCTCCAATCCACTGCCCCGCCCCCACTAGAGTAAGCACATGAGGAAACGGAAAACGTACAGCATATGGCACTATTCAGGTTCTTTTTGGTGCTTGGTTGAATTTCTGTGGCTGCCCTACAGAATGTCAAAACCCAGCTCTCCAGTGGGAACAATACCACAAGTCACCGGAAGCATATCTTATGGGCTTCAGAAATGCTACCGCTTGTACAGCTTCCGCTGGCTGCCTCCCTAGTTCCCACCCAACCTGTCCTCCTGCTGTAGCTATGTCTAGAAGGACTCAGGTGTCTTAGGGCTCCTGTCCTACAGCTGTAAGGAACCTGCACCTGACCTACCTGTACTGGAGACACCGGCGATGTTGCTGGGCTCACTGATCAGGTCCTGCATGACGGCCAGAACCCGGAACTCATACCAGGTGTCCTACAGTCATAGGGATAATATTTGGTTAGCCAAGGCATCCAGGATGGCCACTGTCCCTGCTGCCCCGGATCCTGCACAAGCACTCTGGCGAACAGGACCCCAGAGTACCAGGGTCCTGCTAAGTGTTTCCTGTTTGGCGATGACCAGCACTGGACATTGTGGTGGGGTAAATGTCCCCACTGATCTTAAGCTGCGAATGTGAGGTCACTGGGAGCCAGGAAGACAGGTGCACAGGGGCTCTGAAAAGGCACTCTGAGCAACCCAGCATACCTAACATAGCACCCAGGAAAGAGAGATACTAGAGGTCGTCAGGACCCAGGAACAGCAGCTTCCTCTCCCAAGACTGGAAGATGGTCCCATCTGAAGGGGGTCTGTGAAAAGCAGATACTGTATTTTCTGAAGATGATCCTTCTGGAGCCTCCTCTGCCCACCTCCCCAAGACCAAGCAAAGAGTGGGGCCTGCGTACTCTGTCAGCCTCTCACGCTGCGCTGCCTGAGCTGGAGTCTGTGCTCAGGACAAGTCCCTAGCACCACCCATCTGGCCTTGCTCTGGGGACCTCAGCAGCAGATCTGGGAGCACCCAGCAATGAAGGCGAGGAGGAAGAGTGCAGGACTCAACCCTGTGCACCCAAGCTGTGTCTCCCAGAGCTCCCAGCCACTTCCAAATCTAGGGAAAGAGGCAAGCAAAGCCAGGCTTCACCTGCGACAGATCCTTGGCAAAGAAATCTCCATCGGTGCCTGGAATGGCATCATCCAGCATTTCCCAGCGCTCCCCGACTCGGAACTCCATGATGTAGCGGTCGATGGGGAAGCTGTGGTTGGCAGGTGGGAGCCAGGACAGGAGCACACCCTGCTGGGTCCGGTTGGCTGTGAGGCACCTTGGTGAGGTAACCAGCACCAGAGGTTCTGGAGTTGTGATAGGGAATGCTGTGGAGGAGAAAGGCCGCGTCACAATGAAGGGGCACCTGTGGCCTCTTCATCCATGGCTCCTGAGGGGAGCCTCCCGGGCCTAAGGAAGAAAACCTAGGGTGGGCGGGCCAGAGTGTCCTGCCCCAACCTCCAGAGTAGATCTAAAGAACATGCATGAGGGAACCAGGTACCCCTCAGTGGAGAAGGAACAGCAGGTAAGGGGAGCAGAGCCATATGGAGTGCAGTAGTCATGTGTCACATAATGGAGCAGTCAGCAAGGAGCTACATGCTATGCATCTACATGGTCTGGACAGAGCTGAGAAGTTCCTGTGTGCTAGGGATGCAGTAGCTGTTCTAACATCGCAGAACAACATAGGGCTCACATTTATGAGGACGCTGGTGTACAAACCCAACCACACCACCTGCCACATTCAGTGCAGTCCATACAGTTGTGTCCAAGACAGAGGGCTGGACAATAAAAACAACTGTGACTGGCTTATGTATTTACTATATGACCCTTTTTTTTTGGTAGTACTAGAGATTGAACCCAGGGCCTCTGCTCTGAGCAACATTCCCAGCTCTTTATTTTTTTTTTGTTTTAATATTGAGACAAATTCTGGGTAAGTTACTAAACTGCTCAGGCTGGGCTTAAACTTGAAATCTTCCTGCCTCAGCCTCCAAGAGTGTTGAGGTTATAGGCATGATCCCAGCTACCACGGTACATTTTATCATTAGCGTGTACTTCTACTTATAGAGTTTCCTATAAAGCAGCATGCCCCTCCCAGGCAGCACCAGCTCCACACATCCTGTGTTTCCTGTGCCTGACAGCGCCATTTCCCACTGGCTGTATCAGCCAGGTTTGGTAAATACACGCCCTAACGTTCACACGGTGACAGTGCTGCCGACTGGCATTTCTGGGGTCCTCACCCAGTACCCCCGCTGCTAAGTGGCATGTGACTCTCCCAGGAACTAGAGAGTTCCTTTCTTGGCCCAGGAGCACAGAACACAGCCAGCAGAAGAGACTGGGTTCACGCCTGCCCCTCTGCCCACCCTGCTGGCAGCACAGCCTGGAAACAGCCTCCCTGCCCAGACCCTTCTCAGGCCTCAGGGAGGGGAAGCGTGGCTACTTCCAGGCAGGGTGGAAGGATGACTCCTCATCTCCCCTGCAGACCCATCCAACCTGCAAGCCTGAGGCCTCACGAGGAAGGGGAAAACACAAAACCTCCCCCTTCCACCTGAGACTGCAGACAGAATTCTGCCAAGAGTGTCAAGCAACCAGGCAACCCTGCAGAAGGACATGCCAGGTTCTAAGCAGCAAACCCAAAGCAACCATCACGGAGGGCACACGGTAAGGTGCCAGGCACATCTGAAATCCCAAATGCCAGCTTGGGACCACGGCTACCATCATCTTTGTGTGCCCCAGCTCTTCGAGGAAACTGTTAAGTGGCACACCAGCCCCAGGGCACTCACCTAAAGTGTTCACAGTGACCACCTCACTGAAGGCGCTGGTGCCCAGCTTGTTCTGGGCCAAGACACTGAACTGGTAAGTGGTCTCGGGCTCCAGGGTGTCCACTAGCAGCCAGTTGGGGCCCGGTGGCACTGACAAGGACAGCCAGTCATGGGGCCCAAACTGTGCCCGCTTCATCCTGGCCAAAAGAGAGAGAGAGGATGGGGACAGGGGTGGGTGGGTCACACTGGAGAGAAGAGTGTCATCACTGTCCTCAGGGAGAAGGGGGTGCAAGGACCACATTCCCAGGGTCAAGGGCAGGCAGAGGGATGCCAAGGTGGGTGACCTGCCCAGCTCTGGCTGTGCCAACCCTCACGACAACAGATATCCACTGCTGGCACCTCCCCACAGAAAGGGGCCCTGGGTGGAACCACGCCAAAGTCACTGGCCATGGAACCAAGTGCATTGTGGGAGAATCCCACCCTGGGCAGCAAGCAACAAGTAGGCTCTGCCTTGGGAGAGCAGGAACACTTGAGGGTGGCAGTAAGCACATGGGGATGGGCAGGACTAGGGAAGGGTCCAGGTGGGGAGCCCAGCTGCCACCCCAGATTAACCAGGGAGCTCACACAAACCCAATCAGATCTGGGTCATCTGAGGATGTCCAAGTCATATGACAAAAATGACCAGGGATTTCCCCCAGTGGGATCATGATGCCTAAGGCCTCAAGGGCTAGAGATCTCAGTGGAGCGGGATGTAACACTATATGCATGGAGAGTACTGAGGCGGGGAAAGTTTTCCATGGTTCTAGAGGACTGCCAACTCCCAGGAGCCAATGAAGCTGCCTGCTGCAGTGCCACAATGTACCACTAGGGGGAGACATTGCCCTATGGAGTCAGCCCGCTCCTTTCTCCTTGCCCTGGAACTCTGCACATGCTCAGAGACTCCAAGTTTAAGGCTTGCCACCTTGTACGCCCAGGAGGGTAGGCACAGCAAAAGGAGGCTAGCGCCAAACATCTGAGTCAGGACACAGAGAGCTGGAGGCGGTCAGAGAGGAGGGAAGGCACCCTCCCCGCAAGGGGCCAAAGGGAGTCAGCACAAGTGACAAAGCAATGCAGATGAGCAGCAGCGTGGAGCAGGGTCACAAGCAGCCAGGGGAGCCCGCTCTGTGCCAGGCCTTCTGCTCAGCATCCCCAGAGAGGGATTGGCCACTCCCACATCCCACACCATCCCCACAACCCTGCTGCAGAGGAAGATACATAGACAGGGACGAGAGGGGGGCTGCAACCAAGTCCTATGCAGAACCCATGATTCCTGGGATAGCCAGCCCCCAAACCACCCGGCAGAAACAGAGCAGGCACCCTCTCCACTGCCTGCTGCTGCTCCCTGCAAGCCCCTGAGCATGGCTCTGCAGTCAGGGTTTTCTCCTCCCCACGCTCAGACTGAGCCTGCTGAGAAATAGGCCAGGGAGGACAGGTCTGAAGAGGAGGAAGTGAGGGGCTCCCTCCCCATCGGGTCACCCCTGAGGCAGGTGGGCTGCAGGCCTTGACTCTCGGTTCAGGACAGGAGTAATAGAAGCTGTGGGGTGAAGGGGGATCCCCGGCCTCTCCCACTTTCCCTGGTGTTCTGGTCTTCACCCTGGTGCACATGTTTCTGAGACCTCCACTGACCCTAAGGTTTGGGCAAAGAGCTCACATTGCTGCCTCCGTCTAAATCACAACAGGGCCCTGAGAACAAGAGACACAGGGTCTGCAGAAACTGGCAGCAAGGCCAAGGAGGGGAACAGCGATTCTCCAAACCAGTTCCTAGGACGACTGCATAGAAATGAAAGCAGATCCTACGCTTCAGGCTGGGCCATTTCACAAAGCTCTTAAAATCATCAGGAGTCTCTTCAAGACACCAGAGGAACCCAGAAAAGAATGAGATAGGATACTAAGTCAGGGAGAGCTGTAGATGGTCAGAGGCAGTTCAGACAATGGGTCAAACTGGCTGCCTCAGCCTTCAGGGTGGGAATGCAGAGTCCTTTTAGACACCCCCAGCACCTATACGGACCCAGTCTCGGTCTGCACCATTGGCCACCTGCAGAACTGGCAGGTGCAGATCACCACCGCCTTGGGCCTCCCCTACCCCGGGACTGCCTGAGTGGGGCAGGTGGGGAGAAGCAGAGAGCGAAGCATGCGGGGCTGACTCACAGAGGTCCGTACCAAACTGAGAATGTCTGCTCGTAGCCTCCATCATAGCCTGGCTCCCAGGACACGTTGGCAGTTGTCATGGAGACCTGGACCCGGACACTGCCTGGGGCGTGGGGGCTGGTGCCTGGAGACCAAGGGAGACCTCTCAGACTGAAAGGAGGGAGCCCCCTGGCTAGGAACACATCATCTGGGTGCATAGACCCCAAGAGGCCAAAACATGGGGCAAACGAATGCAGTACTACACTGGGTAGGGATGGGGGAGGCCTCATCATGCAGCCTGGTCTCAGTGCAAGGGATACCCCAGGAATGGAGAGGTAGACAGAAGCCGGAAGCTTCCTCATCCCAGGCCTAACTCCTGTGCGCCTCTGGAGAGCACAGCAGCATTCTCCCCCAGTCGCAGGCAGAACCGAAAGATGTCGCCTCCTGCAAAGGCCCCACCTTGGGACAGACCCATTCCATTGGCAGGAGGCAGCACCTGCGGGTAACAGGTCATCTCAAGGCTGAGCCTGGGTCCCAGTAGTTACTAATGATGATGGGTGCTCAGTCCCACACCTCCCCTCTGCGCCCACCCCAACAAACATCACCTGGGAGATACCAGTGCCACCTCCTCGACTGTGAATGACAAGGAACTAATGCAGACCACCTGGTCCACAGCCTAAAGCCAGTGGTGGACTCAGGGATGCTGTTCTTGGGCATGACCGTGGTTGTCAGAGGGACAGGCTATAGGGATCCTGAGGTCAGGGAGACACGTGCCCTGGCAATCAGGCTCAGGAACTCACTGCAGCAGGGAAGAACCCACCACTTCCTCCTGCCAGCCTCCTTGAGCCAGGATGTGCCCCAGGACATGCGCCCACACCTCAGCCCAGTGTGAGTCCGGGGCGCCACACCACTGATTCACCCTCCTCCCAGCCCCCCAGCTTTCCCACAGGCTCCACACTCAGTCCCCACTGCCTGCTGGCCATAAGGCTGCCTCTCACACCTCACTGACCTCTCCCTGGCTGACCTTTCCTCACCCAGCCCAGAGGGGCAAGGGTTGGTGCCGACTCTGGGCTCAGGGCCGGACTGACCTGGCAGCTGACATGTGGTCGGCTGCCATCAAACACCGCTGCGGGCTACCTACCGATGACAGTGAGGTGGGTGCTGGCAGTGATGGTCGTGACCACGTTGGTGGCGACACATTCCCACTCCCCATGGTCCTCCTTGCTCAGGGCACGGAACTGGAGGCTCCCGCTGGGCAGGGCACTGTGCTTGCTTCTGCTGGGCTTCCCTACCTTGGCCGACAAGGGGAGGGAGAGGGCAGGCCAGACAGAAGTGAGGAGAGGAGCCGCCGTGGCTCGTGGAGGACGAGGGTGCTGGGGTTAGCCCGGCCCTCGGCGCCCGCCCCCGCCCCCGCCCTCTGCCCTTCTCAGTGTCCACTGCTACAGGAAGGTGGCTCTCCACTGGACTTCTGGCCAGCAGCGTAGGTCCAGAGCAGAACTGGCGTTGCATGCCCTACCTGCCCACAGCCCAGGAGCTCCAGAGCCCAGGTACCTTTCTCCAGGTGATGACAGGGAAGGGGTCCCCTGCAGCTGCACAGGGGATGAGCAGCTCTCGGCCAGCCTCCTGCCTGTACTCCCAGCCTGGTAGCACCGTGAAATACGGGGGGTCCTGGAGAGCACAGGCATGCATGTGTAATCGCGTGCCTGCATGTACACACAGAGGCCGTGTACTGCCCCAGCACCTCACCTTCAGGACGAGCCGAGCGGGAGCAGACTGGCCCATGGTCCCTAGGGTGTTGTAAGGCACACACGTGTAAGTGCCAAGAGCCTCCTCTGTGGCTTCCTCGATCCGAATGGAGCCGTCCTCCATCAAGGTCCAACCCAGGTTCTGTCGCACACAGACAACAAGCAGGGAGCAATGGTTAGGGGACAGGTGCGCTGACAGCCCACCGGGACAGGACCTAAGCTGGGCCAGACAGCACGAACCTGAGCCGTAGCTACCACCTAGGGTGGGCATCAACCCCCGTGCCCCAGAGGGTGGCCAAATTCCTGCTGGACTACAGATCCTGCAGGATGCGGCTCGTCTTCCCAGACACATTCTGCTCGGGACAGGAGCCAGGCAGACACCGGCGAAACGTGGCTTCTCGGTACAGGGAGGGCTCCTCCCCTCTGAGCTCCATACCACTCACCTTCTCTACCTGCAGGGGGCGCCCGTCCTTGTTCCACTTCACCACAGTGGCTGGCGGCTCTGCATCCACAGGGCAGCGGATGTAGCCGTGGATCCCCACAGGCACGTAGATCACAGGGGGCATGTTGAGGACACGAGCCGGGTCTGAAGGGGGAGAGGAGAAGGACATGCAAGAAGCCAGGTGAGCAATGCAGGTAAACAGCCCAGACCCCTGGCAGGCATAGCCCGCACATTGTCTCCAGGTGGCTCCACAGCACGCGAAAGTGCCCAGGGGCTCGGGCCACCATGGGTAACAAGCCGGCAAGTCCGGCTGCAGATGTACCAGCCCGCTCACCCTGTCAAGACCATTTGGAAGCATTCAAAGGCACATTCTCAGTCTGTCTGCAGCACTTTGATGCCTCTGGTCCCAGATTTTGCCTGTCAGGCAGTGACTGCTGAGGTCCAGTTCCCTTAGCTTCAGGTCATGTTGACCAGCCCCTCTCCACCCGCTCCCTGTCCCAAAGTCTGTCCCGGGAGCAAGCAGTTCAGCTCTCTACATTCTAAGCCAAAGCCAGTGCTACCCAGGAGGCCATTCAACTGAAGCTGCAGTGGGTATTTCTGTCCTCTCCCTCCCTTCTGCTGGAGGTCCAGCCTCCCCTGGCCTCAGTCTCCCCACTAGACCCTGCCACTGAAATGCAGACTCTACCCTGGCCGAGGAACAGATGAAGCCTGCAGGATGGCAGCCCTGGGATACAGGCTGAGTCACCGCCTCTCAGCTCTCCCTAGTCCCCCAAAGGCTACGGAGAAGGATCCAGAACCAGAGAAGCCGTGAGGATGAATGAGCTGGTATCTTCTAAGCATTCTGAGCTCTTCAGAGAACAGCATTACATAAACACCAGGCCGCGTTATATATTTAGACATAGCTTCCTACTTTTGTATGGTGGAGTCTTTTTTTTTCCCTCCGAGGTTTTCAAAGGGTTTATGAATGGGAAATACTCTGAACACTGCTCTTTAGCAGAAATAAAGATCCTTGTCTCACCCACCTATAAATCTCAACCCCCTGGATTCTCTTTGAAGGCAGAAAGGAGGTAAAAAAGGACAAGTGGGAGTGAGTGGTGGTGCCAGCGCGAGGAGAGACGGGGAAACCAAATACCTCCCCGACAGAAAGATGTCCTCAGCTTTGAGGGCAGGACTCGGTCCTGGTCAGGGTCATTGTCCTGAAGAACACCGCCCCGGGGCACTCCGCAGCGGAGCCACTGCACCTTCCTCCCAGGGCATGGCCTGCATGAGGCCAGAGGGACGGGCACACCTACGCGGTGGCGTCTGCTGCTCCTGACCTCAGCCCCTTCTCCTCCAGTGCAGCCCAGGCCACACTCAGTCCACTAACAACAGCTCTTCCCCCTGCATTGTGATGGCACACCTGTCCGGCAAGATGCACCCCACATCCCAGGCTTCACAGCTCTTGGGAGCCTGGATTCACATCATGGCACGTGACAAGACCTTTGGGCTGTGACACAGGAAGTGGAGAAGGGGCCTTTGATTCTACCAGCAGAGCCGGTCCACAGAAATGAGAAGTGATACGACCGTGGAGTGAGGCTCAAGAGTCCAGCAGGCCCAGCAGGGCTCCGCCACTCTGCCTGCTTCAGGGAGATGCCTCCAGCACCCCGCTCAGTGCAGCAGTCAGAAGCACTTCACTCCCAGGGCCACCAACTGTTCCTCTACTTGTCCTCAGCTCTTGGGCTGAGCCGGCCAGCCAGTCTCCAGACTGTTACAATTCTCGCTCCTGCCGCTTCCGGACCCCCACGCAGGCCCTCGCAGGATGGAGCGTCTGTCAGTCTGTCACCCACAGCAGAAATGTGGGCCTTTGTTGCTGAGTGACAGGGCTGTCCTCGAATCAAAAGGAAGACATTAATCCTCATTACTCATCCTTCTCCCGCACTTGCTCTCACAATGCTCGGCTTGCCAGAGGGTGGGAAAGCAACCAGCAGCGCTCAAGTATTAAAGATTAGCAAAGTGAATTATTGTGCTCACTCAGCAGCGCTGATCATCCTGTGTGAGAACCAGCTCACTCACTTGGAGCCCGGTGGCCCTGGAGAGGCGCGCGGGCCACTGGAGGGAGCTCGTTACCCCAGAACAGGGCCTCTACCCACCACACACTGTCCACAGCCTGGAAGAGCGGAGCACAGCAGGCAGGAAAATGGCCCAGCCTGCCTCTCAGCACCCCTCAGACCCTCCAGAAAATCTCCCCACAGTGATTCCTTCAAGGCTCAGCAGCATGGGCCAGCATTCAAAGCAAGGGCAGCCACTCCACTCCAAAGGACAACTGGCCAGAGACAGGGTCTGCTTATCCTGGAAGCCCAAAGTGCGAATTAGCCCATGGAGGATGCCCAGCAAGTGTCAGGTCAGCCTACAACTGCTTGGCCTGGCCCCACCCCACTGTCCCATTCCCTCCACCATTCATTCTCCCACCTGTACTCCCCTAAATGGCACTTGGTCTCTGCCGCCCTTCACCCCCAGTCCAGCCAAAGTGGCTTAATCCTTCTGCAATGCCCACCCATACTCACACTGTACAGTCAAGTAAGCTGAGGCTGAAGGCGAGCGCCCCAGGCTGTTGCTAGGAACACAAGTGTACTTCCCAGCATCCTCTGGCTTCACCCGGAAAATGATCAGCGTCCCATCTATCAGGATCCGCACCCTCAGCTTCAAGTCACTGCAAAACCACAAGGAGACAGAGGAAAGGGAGCAGTGAGTCACCTACACCTCCCCAGAGGCACCAGACCCCTGTTCCCCAGCATTCCCCGAGCCCCCACGCCTTCAGGCCCCTCTCTGGCCTAAGCAGGTAAGACACATGCACCATCCAGCCACTCCAAGCCTCCAGAGCCTGGGGCAAATGGCACAGTCCCTGCTCAGAGCCCTTGCCCTGGAAACCCACAGTGAGAACCCCCAGGATGGGCAGGGAAGGGTGTTGCTCACTTCTGGAAATAGACGTTCTCGTCCTGCCAGTACCAGGTGTATGTGAGGTTGCCTGGATACGCCTCTGCCCGGCAGGTGAGCAGAGCATCCTGGGAGATGTTGACAGTGATGTTCTCAGGAGGGGAAACGATGAAAGGAGGCCCTAGAGAGAAGGGGGAACAACATCATCTCTGCTATGGAGGACGGTTGCCCAGCCCCCATGAAGCTCAGACGTGCTCAGGAATGGGGCACCAGAGGCAGCATGGCCTGGCAGTCACCCAGAGCTGCTTCTGGCCACTAGGGGGCTCGGGCACTCACCACGCCTGCACTCTGCCCACTCTGTCCCAGCCAGCATCTAGCTGACCCCGCCTACACACACCCCATTGTGCCCACCCCTGCCGCAGCAAGGCCTAGGCAGGAGACTGCGGCAGGAGAAGAAACAGTCTGGTCTCCAGACAAGACAGAATCCTGGCTGCTCAACACCCAGAGGTTAAGAGGGTAACTTGGGATAGGGCAGAGTGAGAAGGGTGAAATTCCAGCAGTCCCTGGCAAGGTTGGCCAGACTTCACCAAGCTGCAGAGACCTCTGGCCCTGGTCACCGCTCAGCCCTAGCTGGTGTGGGAACTACCATGGCAGCTCTGTCAGTGGGACACAGCTGCCCACAGCCCCTCTCCCAGCAGATGGTGGTAGGGAAGGCAGATCCCCTCCAGGGGACCCCACCCACCCTACACCCTAGTGAGGGCCTAGCCCAACACCCTGGCATCTCATGGTGCTGACCACGCAGACCCCAGCTCTGCCAAATGTCCTTGCTGTTATTTAAATGCCTGGGGCTTGGATTGCCTCCCCATGTTTGCTTATTGATGTATTATGCTTTGTGTCTAGGTGTCTCCCCAAAGCCTCATGCAGTCATGGGATGGGCTTTTAGAGTTTATGATTGATTCATAGTCCAACGTTGGAATTATGGATGTGAGTGCTATACCTGCCCTGGGGCAGGCAGTTTGCATACAGCGTAAGGGAGGGAAAGACGCTGCTTGCCATTGTTCCTCCCTTTTGTTCTGGTTGCTTTTGCTATCTTCCACAGCCATGAACTGTTGCCCTCTGCCATGTGCTACTCTGCCTTGGAGCCAGCCAAGTATGGACTGAAACCTCCACAAACTGTGAGCTAAATGAACTTTTCCTTCCTTAATTTTGGGCATCGGGTATTTTGTCTCAGCAATGAGAGAAAAGTAACCAAGACATGATGTCATCACTAATGGACAGATGACCCAAGGAAGTTCACCTCCCCGGGGAGATGGAGGCACAGAGGGGATGCCATCTAGACAGAGAGAAACCAGAAACCTACTCAGCCCAGGGCCTCCCTGGCACTCTGCAATGCATTTTCCCAGGGGAGCCAGGACTAGAGATCTGGCCATGAGGTACTCGGGACCCAGGAGCCCCTGCGCAGCTCTTCCCAGTCTGCCTGTCTCCACCAGAAGGCCCTTGCAAGAGTTCAGCGTGGACAGAGGCTGAAGAATTCCCCTACCTTGGACAAGCAGGTGGGTGGTGTGGACAGCCTCCCCCTGGATACTGTATGCCCGACAGGTGTAGGCACCTCTGTCCTCCCGACTGACAGATGTCACCGTCAGGCTGCCATCACTCACCTGGGGGCCAAGGACAGACAGCTCAGTACTCACCCATGGGCCCCACCAATGCTACCACTGTAGAGAGATGCTGCCAGAGAAGCTGGGCTTGGAAGGCTGAGGGACATGTGTACTGGGGGATGCAGAAGGCAGGTGACAGGGAGGACACCTGCAGCCAGCCCGCTGCAGAGAGAGGGGACCTGGAGAGAGAGCAGGATGAGTGGTGCTCACCTGGTACTTCCCACTAGCACTGAGGAGCATCCCCTCCTTGAGCCAGGTGACGATAGGCTTGGGATTCCCAAAAGCTGTGCAGGTCATGGTAATACTACCCCCCTCCTTGGCCTCGATGTACTGGGGGGGTGTTTCTGTAAAGGTGGGAGGGGCTGCAAGAGAGACCACAAAGGTGAGGAATGGGATCATGCACATATGCATGCACGCAAGCATAGAACTCTCACTGCAACCTGCAGGATGTGAGGAAATTGAGGAGCAAAGCAGGAGGCGGGTAAAAGCATGCTGGTGAGGATCATAGGGGAGGGATGACCTGGGATCCAGTCTCTATCGAGCTGGGCCAAATTCTATGCTTTTCCCATCAAACTTAGCTACTTCCCACCAAAATGTTTACTGAGCATCTACCAAGGAGAAGCTGTTGTGCTCACACTAAGGTCACTACATGAACAGGACAGGCCCCCCCACAAACTCCTACCACCCTTTAGTGTCTCCCCTCAGGGGGCCCCACCCCTGCACTCTGGCTCAGCCAAGCCCTCACATTTCCCCAGCATTTGCCATTAGCCCTAAGGCTGACACAGACCCGGCCCCAGCCTGCAGTCTAGTTCTGCACAGAGCAAAAACATCCACCTGCCTTCCCCTCTGGCTCCCATGGATAATGAAGGTGGGAAGCTGCCTCCTCAGTTCCCCTCTAACCATGCAGGTCATCTTCCCTCTGCACTGGAGCTGTGATTGAAACTCCACCGTTTAGATAATCAGCTTCAAGAGACTCAGTCCCATTCCCCTGAGCTGCTTGTCCAAGTAACCCCATCCATCTTAACCCTTCAGACAATGGGTGCTGCAGTCTTCCAGCAGGGCAAGGCAGGCCCTTTCTGAACACCATGAGACCCACCACACTGGCCTTGGAGTTCCTCAAGACTCTTCAAGCTTGGGACCCAAGCTCAAGAGCTAGCTGCAAGCTGGGCCTAGTGGTACACACCTGTAATCCCAGCATTCAGGAGGCTGAGACAGGAGGATTGCTGCAAGTTTGAGGCTAGCTGGGGCTACATAGTTCAAAGCCAGCCTGAATTACAGAGTGAGACCCTGTCTCAAAAAAAAAAAAAAAAAAAAAAAGAACTAGCTACATAACTTTGGGAATCCTGCACCCTCTAGAATTGATGCAAGGAATATATGAGACAATGCTTGTGGAAAAGATCTTGCTCAGTTCAGGCACATGTTTAAAACAAGTCTTGGTTATCCCCTCCCCTTCAAGTCACTGAAGTACTGAGAAACTTCAGGAGGGCTCCTGCCCCTCCACAAAGCCCTCAAGAAGACCAAGTCACAAGACTAGGATTGGGTCCTTTCCCACCAAGCCCCTCTCCCAATACACTTCCATTCACTGTGCTTTACTCACGTGTGTCTTTTTTTATCTTCCTGCAACATGGCGAGAACTTCCAACCTCACCACCCTTGCATGTACAGTTCTCTCTGCTTAGAACTCTATACACAGATCTCACTGCCTGGGCTCAGTACATCTGCTCCCTGCCACCTTTGCCTCACCTGGTCAGCTCATTTGACCTGACACTCCAGCATCCCTACACCTTGCTCCGTTTTGTTTCCTTTAAAGCACTTCTTGCCAGGCATGGTGGCATATGCCAATTGTCCCAGTGCTCAAGAGGCTGAGGCAGGAGGATTACTGTGAGTTTGAGGCCAGCCTGGGCTATCTAAGCAAGTTGAAGGTAGCCTGCACGACACAGTGAGACCCTGTCTCAAAACAAAACAAAACAAAACCACACACAAAAAAAGTACTTCTTACGAGCTGAAGCCCGTCTTATTTGTTTCTAATCTGTCCCCATTAGTGGTTATAACAACTCCCTGGTCGAGCAGCACTTGGCAGAGTGCTTAACGCACATTTGTTGAATGAATGAAATGAATGAGGGTGTACAACACACACCACAGAGCACTGGAAATGCAAATACACTGAACCTCTCAAGAGCAAGATCCTGAAAAGAAACTTTGGCCTACAGTCTCTAAAGCCCCTGGCCCAGCACAGGCACATGGCATGCAGACAGGGACACTGGAATGTGGAGGAAGCATACTTCCTCACACACACAGGTGTGCACAACATGCCCTCAAAAAGCCAACTCTCCAGCAGCATCTACAAATACACGAAGCATGACAGGAAGCCATCCCAAGCCCTTGTAAAGGGAGCCTCGAACCCTGATCCCAAGCCCTGGGCAGGCATGCTCACCACCTGCAGAGCCCTCCCTACCCAGCCTGCCCCCTGAAAAACACTTCACACAGCCACAGCCTCTATTACCTCTGGTATCAAACTTAAAAGAAAAGATAATAAATTAAATTACGTCCTGGAGTGACAAATTAATTACTAATTACATAATTACTTTATTATTTAGGTGCTAATCAGGAAAGTACTTTGAACAATTTCGAGTTTTCAGAAAAATAATGGTTTGACTCTCGATTATTTACTGAATTAGGTGTTAGCTTGCCAGCTGCATTTCCAGGCTTAATTCTTTCTGCAAGTGCCCTATAATTAATAGTGCAGGTTAGAAACAGGCTGGCCCCTCCTCCAAGTAATTCATCGGCCTAAGGGAAGCCTTGGCTTGGGCTTCCCGCTCATTTTATATGTGATAAAGAAATAATTGGGTTTCTTTCCACCCAACTGGTCTTCAAAGAAAACACAGAAGGGAATGAAACCATCTGTAATTCTAATTTTTCACTGGCCTTTCAATTTCCAAAGGTGACCCCAGTCAGAAAGTGCCTGACATTAGACATTCTAGCTTGGAAGCAAGAGAATGCTGGAAATCTCTGTGCTGGATGGAACCTCAGAACTCAGGAGAAAGGGAGAGAAATGTCTCTCATGAAGGCAGGCATCTGCTCTCTTCTGCCTACTGCACAGCGAACTCCTTGGTCATGGCATTTGCTCTATCACAGTCTGATGCCACATCTGGCTCTCGAGCATGGGCAGATGGTGCAGCACGTTAGCACTTCTGCCCAGTACTTCTTACCCTTGCCTGTGTTCCCTGAACGAGCCATGCTCCTTCCTCCCTCGGAGCTCTGAGATAGGCTGTTCCCTCTTTCCAGAGTCCCCACCTCCCACCAGCTCCTGGCTAAATCCCTCTCTGACCAGGGCTCTGAAGAGGCCACTTCTTCCAGGAAGCTGTCCCTCCTGTGTGTTCTCAACCCCACTGGCAATCGTCTCTGGACTTGATTCTTTCTGGAAGTCTCCTTAAAAGCCCCTGTCATGTCCCCAGAGGCTGCCATAGAGTAGCCCCTCAAGAATTGGTCTTGAATGGGTAGTCATTGCTGGATTCACAAGGATGTTTCAACGACCAAAGTTCTCTGTCTCCCAGCCTGATGAGTTTGCTAATAAAATCTTCATCTGGCTTTATCCTTTTCCTTTCTTCAGAAGAGCCGGCCAGCATTTTACCCATAATTACACATGCAATTAACGAGCCAGACACTGTGCAAGATACATGCTCATGTAGTTCCACTGAATCCTCATGACAACCCTGCGAAAGCCAGTGTTTTTTAACTGAGGAAACCAAAGCTCAGAGAAGTAACCCGACCCACCTAGGATTACAAGGCTAGCGTGGAACAGGCTTATGAAATAAACCAAATCTTTCAGGAGTCTTGCTCACACTGAATCCACTCTGAGCAATTAGGAATTTCCAAAGAACCAACTCCCACTCCTGCTAAGACAGGCATTAGATGGAACACACGACTCCAAACTAAACTCTCCTTTCTGGTCACATAAGTAATTTGACCGTGCTATCTGCATACTGGCCTAGACACTACCAACCAACCAGGCTGCTCCTCCGGGTGGCTTCACTCCTTCCTTCCGCTTGGGAAAGGAAGGGCACAAGGGAGAAAGGGAGGCACGTCACGACGCTTGGCTTAGTGTTCAATCAGCGAAGCTTGGAGCACAGGATTTACCTTCGTAATTGTGATCTATTGACTAATATTAAGAGGAGTACATACAACAGTTGGTATCAAAGGGGGGTGACTCAAAGCTGGCTGGGTGTGAAGGACAAAGCACCCAAGATTTAAAATCTGCCTGCAGTCAGGCTCTGGGGGCTGACTGGCAGGAGCCATCCCCATCTACTGCCTGAGCAAACACTGTCTTTAAAGTCTCCTGCCCCACAGGCCAGCCCCCTTGCTAAAGGACTCAGCTCGAGGACCGAGTGGTCCAGTGACTGGCTGGAATCTATAAGGCCCTCGTTTGATTCCTAGCATTGCAAAAACATAAAATTATATTAAATGTAAAAATACTTTGTTCTTCTAAGACCCTAGATAAGTTCTCAGACCTAGAAGGAACACAGGTCTACAACCTTACTACTGATTGGTAGGGGAAATGAGCCATGCTTCTGGGCAGATCAATTTCAAAAGAAGCTTCCAAGCCAGGAGTGACATCAATTTCTCTCTTCTAACCACAGTATCCACAGCCTCATACACCAAAACATAAGCACCACACTGCGTGTGGCAGATCCAAACACTCATGCCCTCAAAGCATCAAAGACTAGCACGGTATTGCAATATGGTGATGCTCAGTATACTTTTGCCACCAATTAAATAAAGAGTAAGTGTCAGGCCAAAAGAGCAAAGTAAAACCAAAGCAAAAGATCCCATTGCCCTCCCTCTGTGGGGATGGCTGCTCATCCTTCCGGCTACTCCAGAGCATCCCCCTCCCAGGCAGGGACTCCCAGGGTCACAAAGCAGGAACTGTCTCTGCCAGAGACCCTGAAAGCCCAGCTTCCCGGCTCTGAACACCATGGACCCAGGCCCATAGCCTAGGCCAATTTGGGAACTAGGTAAGCTCACCCCGGCTTGTCCACCCCCACCAATACTTGAAAAGTACCTGTACACAGCAGGATCCACTCAACCGGAGTCATAAATAATAGCGACTAAATCTGCTCCTACATTTTATGAGTTGGTAAAGCCCATACAAGCAGAGGCAGCATTTACTGTTCATCTAGTGCAGGGCTGGGCACATAACGGACCTTCAAAACTTATTACTCAAATAAATGCACTTAACAAGGAACTACAACATCCACCTAAGAAGAGAAACTTCTGAAGTCCCACGGGAGGGAGGGCTCATTCTAGGCAGGCAGGTGACCCCAGGCCAGGTGATTTGGCACCCCACAGAGCCTTAACCTTAACTCTAGGTGTGCAGAAGCAGAGCACACGTCCCCAGAGAAGTTCAGACACCACCTGGCACACAGGGCTTGCCGCTCCTATGCACCCCAGGGACCCAGGGGCTCCATGAAGAGAAGCGGCAGGGGAGAATGACAGGAGCCAGTCAGGATCTCCTGGGCCTCCAGCTTGCAGCAGCAGGGTCAGGGACAGTCGAGCAGGCAGGCAGGACAGGGCTTTCCTCCAGAGCAGCCCCCACCCCAGAAGAGGCCCATACGCACCATTGATGGTGAGGTGCACCCAGCTGCCGTTGTGGAAGGTGTCATACTGCTGGTCCAGCATGAGCACTTTGCACTCATACCAGCCCTGGTCCTCAGAGCGCACCTGCTCCAGCCGCAGGGATGCTTTATCATGAAGACTGGCCCGGCCTGGGGGAAGAGAGTAGACAGAAGCCAGAGAGGCCATCAGGGCCAGGTCAGCAGCTCCTCCCCACTTCCCAACTCAGCCAAGGCAGGGACACTCCGTGACCAGTTCCCAGGGCAGGGCCCTGGGATGGCAGCAGCCCCACCTCCACCAGCAGCAGGTAGCAAAGGGAGAGGCAGGATACCCTCCTCCTGGGGAGCCACTGTCCCCTCTCAGCTGGCCCCACCGCAGCCAGGGAGCTGCTCAGCACTGAGAAAAGCCTTGGCCCATTAGAATACACCTATTCTTTGCAGAGCTCTTAGGGCAAAAGAAAAGCATGATGCATGATGGATACAGAGGTGAGAGAAAGGAGAGAGAGAAAAAGGAGAGGTGGAGACAGAAGAGGATAAGCTTGGAGCAACCACAGGCCCCACAGAGATCAGACAACATTGCTGCCCCAGTCGGGTGCCCAGGACGGCCCTGCCCAGCGCCCTCCCACCTCCCTTCCCACAGGGGTGAGGCCCCCAACATCACGTCCTCGAAGTTCTGCTGCCAGGTAAAACTCTCACCAAAGCCCAGCACTCCAGGAGCTGAGAGTAATGGGCCTAGAACCCCAAGGGCAAGGGACAGGTTGAGAGGCACAGCAAGACCCCAAACCACCCTTCCTCTGTTCCATTAGGAAGCCAGCCCTGCCCTTGGGACATGAAGGAAGTGAAGCCCCTTCCTCAGAATCAGCTCCTGCCTTGCCTCAGACTCCAGGTCAAGAGCCACCTCTGCGTCCTGCCTTGGGACTGGCAGTCAGCCCAAGGCCCAAGCCATCAGCAACCCTGGCCAGAAGGAGAGCGTGGAGGAGACCAACAGGGAAATGTCAGGAGAGAGGCAATTCTGACAGACAAGTGTGAATGCAGAGTCCTTTCTGTCTCCTCCCTTCCTCTGGACCTCAGCATACACTTGTGTGTGCATGGGTGTGTGCGCCTGCACATGAGTGTGTATGTGTGCGTGTGTGTATGTATATGTGTTCATGTGTGTGCATGTGGGTGTGTATGTGTGAGTGCGTGTGTATGTGCGCGCGCGTACATGCACCCCAGACTGGCAGACGGCAGCAGTGAGTCACAGGGAAACCAGAGTCACTGCAAGGCAGACACAAGCAAGCTTGGAGACTCACAGTGGGGGGGGGGGCAGGGGCACTCAGGAGGATACCCAGCTTCAGAACCCGGAGAGAGGGAGCTGGCACAGGCAATGGCAGCTCCTGAACCCCTGACTGTGCCATACCTGGTAGTGCGTGGGGCCATGACTCCCTGCTTCTCTGGATAGGGGTCCCTGCACCCTCCCCACAGAGACCCTGTCTAGAATACCCTGCATTCCTGGCCTTCTCCATCCTTTGCTGTATCACACCCGCCTCTCCTCCAGTGACCTCTCCTGTGTCCTTGCCTCCACCACTTAGTGAAAATGCAGAGTTCAAAGACAGGAGAAAAGGCAGGAATGGAAGGAAATAGACAACAGACCCTGAGGAGAAAGGACTGGCAGAGCAAGATGCTTCCCACAGAGCCCGCAGCCACCTCTGCCCCGCGCCCCTTGGCCTGGTGCCACTGCACTAAAAAGAGTACAGCACACAGGTGGGGGCATTGGGGACCTCAGGCGACCACCAAGGCTGGGGTGGACAAAACAGCAGGCCCAAGCACAGAGGGCAACAGTGCAGAACAGCCCTCTGCACCCCCATTTTACCTGCATACTCAGGGTCCACGTGGGGCGGGTAGTAGCCAAACTTGATGAAGATAGGGATGGGGACCCCGAACTTGAACCACTCTACCACATAGGGCGGGGGCTGTCCCGTCACGGGGTGGATCACGTCGCATCGCAGGACCACACTCTCGCCAGCACGAGCGGTCACAAACTCAGGCTCCTCTCGCAGGCCGTGGGCGCCTATGGGGACAGCCAAGTTGGGACATGGGAGGGTGGCAGCGCTCCTGCCCCAGTAGCCCCATGCCCAGGTCAGAGAGGCTTCTGTCTCCCTCCTCAGTCCTGCCTCTTCAGCCCCCCAAGGCCCTGCACCATCTCACTCACACCCCCTCTATCCTGGGGCCCCGCAAACAGGGGTAGCCAGGGAAAAAGCTAGAACATCTCTCTCCCACCCCAGAAGGCAGCAGGCATAATCCTGCCTCCCCCAGGGTCTAAAGGAACTGAGGACAGGAAGGTGGAGGTCCCATCCTGGGCGGAGCCGCCAGGGGTATGCAGCATTCCTCTTGAAGCAAGATGATTCCCACAGAGCCAGCGTCTCCTCTGCCCCGCCCTCAGCCTGGTGCTCCAGCACTAAACCAGCGCGCTGCACACAGGAGCAGGGAATCCCTAACAAGCTAAACCAGGCTGCTCCGGCAACACCAGAGGGAAACCCCACCGGCCGAGCAGGCCTCTGCAGCCCCTCCTCCCAGCACTGCGCCAGCCCTGCTGCAGCGGGGAGGGAAGGCTGCAGTCCTCGGGTTTTCGAGCCTCAAATCTATCCGATTCCCCAAGATGTCCCAGACATTACCATCAGGACAATAGATGCTGCGGGTGAGGAGGGAGGCCCGAGGCAACCCCTACCAAGCTTTAGCAGAGGACATCAGAAGGAGGGAGATGGAGGGACCACCAATCCTGGCTGCAGAAGCCCCACCCCCGCCCAAGCTGCAAGCAGGAGAGCCCAGAGGCAAGGCTGACCCATAGGAGTGCCGCCCACTCAATGCAGCTCTACCCTGGGCCCCAAGCAGGATGCAGCCTCCTCCAGCAGACACTCCTCAACCTTGGGACTGCCAAGGTGAGGGAGACCCAAGGTCACCTAGCCTAGCACAGCCAGTGACAGGGACAGCCAAGGGGTGGCCTCGGCCCTGCTTTCCAGCACCCACCACTCCCACACTGACCACAGCTCTCCACACACCTCTCCTCTACCCCAGCTGAGCATAGACACCCAGGCAACACCTGGACAGCAGCCCATGCCAGTTCCCTCCCGGGACTAAACAGGGCTGCAGTGGAGCTCAGACACCCCTGACCCAAAGGGCTCCAGCTCTATCTGCCCTTCATGTCTGCCTGGCCATGTGTGTGTGTCTGTGTCTCCTCTGGATTTGTCTCTGTTCCTTTTCTGTCTGTCTCCTCTGTGTCTCTCTGTCCATCTATCACTAGCTCATATGTCTGTCTTATACTCTTTCTGGCACTCTCTCCCTCTCCCTTTTCCTCTCTCTGTTGTCTATCTGTCTTCCTCCCCATGTCCCTCAGTCAGCATCTCTCTCTCTTTCTCTTACTCTTGCTCCCACCACATGAATCAGTCTGTCTACCTGGCTGCCTGTCTCCATTTCGGGTTGTACCAGACTGTGTGCCATTGTGTGGGGGGCAGGGCCCATGGCTGTCTGTCGGGCTGCTTTTCTGTGTGAGGGGCTCTGTCTCTGCTGCATGTCTGTGAGTTCCAGGTGTATCTGTCTATTATCTGTGCGTCTCTGCGTCCTGTTCTCTCTCCCAACCCCCTGCAACTTGCGGAAGGAGGAGGCGGAGGCAAGCCCTTCCAGAAGCCCATTGGCTCCTGGTGACATCACTGTTTTCTAGAGAAAGAGCTAAGATCACAGAGTATTTTTGGAGCAGAGCAGAGTGTTGCACTCACCTGCCCAGGGCCCCAGCAGGTTTTCCAGCTCCCCACCCCCGGCCTGCTTCAGGCTCCCTTGGCCATGCAGACCCTGGAGGGGTGTTGGGGCGGGGCGCGGGGGGGCCTGCAGCAGGCACCTCCCCAAACCAGGGCACCTGGGAAGGAGGAGTCTGCAGTTGCATCCAGGAGCACAAAGGCCAATGCTGACCTGGAAGGGGTAGGCAATGACCACCACAGCAAGCAGGAGCAGCAGCACCTGTGCACACATGTGAGTACGTGTGCACATCTGTGTGTGCAACAATAGTGTCTGCAGCACAGATGAGAAAAACTATAGATGCCTGGGGTATGCAAAGGGGGGCACTCTCAGGCGCCAGGGGTCCTGGGGAGGGGCAGAGTGGGCCACACAACAGGATCTGTGGCTCTACAGCTTTGAAGCAGCCAGGAACCCCTAACAGTGCAGGCTGGCTCTGCAGAATGGGCTGCTGGGATGGAGGGCACCGGAGGTGATGCCAAGAGGTCAGCGGCCTTCACTTGGGTTCCCACAGTGCCAGCTGCTCATTTGCACCCAGCACCGCCTCATTCTCCCTGCATGGCAATGAGGCAGCTCCTTCACACCTTCCTTCCCAGGCGTGGTGAGGACGCCAGGCCCCACCTCCCTCCAGCCCAGCCAGCCCCAGGCTGAACAGGGAGCCTCCGGCATGAAGCCCACCCCAAGCCACCAGGCACCCACTCACCCAGCAGCTCCACTCAAGGACCCTGTCCACCCTAGAGAAGAGCTGCAGAGAGGACACCCCAGAGAGGACACAGAATGAATGAGACAGCTTCTCTGAAAGGAGGCAGTGGGGCAGCCAGGACCTGGCCTCCACACATTGCTTTCTGGATTCTAAAATATTCACCTGCTCTTCCTCACCTCTCCACACACACACATGCACACATGTGCACAAGTGCACACGCAGTGCACAGCACTGTCACTCCATCACCCACAAGCACTTCTCCAAAGCCTGATCCTTTCTGAGCCAAGTATGTCTAATACAACACTCTCCAGAAAAGCTCAGGGTGAGGAAAAGGGACAAAGTAATCAGGCTGGCAGTAAAGGGGAAGAGGGGCTTGAAAGAGGAGAAGTAAAGTCAAACACAGGAGTAACCAAACCCAAACCCAGGCCAGAGAGACTGAGAAGCAGAGGAAGAGGCACAGATGGGCCTCCTGCAAGCTGGACACAGCCCAGCCTGGCTGCGCACAGCACGACAAGGCACTGGGTCGGAGACAGACCCTCAGAGCAGGGAGAACAAGGGAGAAGGCTGGGGAGGTGACACAGGGGCGCTCAGACCCCTCACAGCAGCCCAGGGGCCAGGCCGTCTCCCTCCAAGAAGAAACTGGCCTTGGCAATGGGCGGGGGTAGGGTGGGGGTACAGTGAGGCAGGAAGAGGCTATGCGGTGCAGCCCCTTTTTGAGAAGCCAGTAAACTGCACCTTGAGCCTAGCTAATATGCACCTTGGAGGTCTTCCCTCCCTAATCTGGAGCTAAGCCACCTGGCAGGGAGGAAAAAGCTAGGGCAGGAGACTGAGGTGGCCCCCTGTGGGCTGGCTGACCTTTTGAGAAGCCCCACAGAGTACAAGTCTCCATTCCCAGGCCAGGCGACACCCAGTGGGTATCTGAGGCCATGGCTGCCAGCAGACCCCCTGTGGCCCCAGAACCATAAGGCCTTCCAAGGCCTGGCACAGCCCCACACTCAACACTCACAACCTGGAGCTCACCCACCAGAGAAGAGCTAGAGAAGGATGGGTCCTGAGAAGGGGAAATGCTCAAAGCCAGAGGGCAGGCAGAAAACACCTGGGCTAGCGGGCAAACTGAACACACAGCAAAGCACTACTCCACACCAGGCTCTGTGCTAGAAATGCATAAATCTCACTACATATCTACAGATGGTCCCAGCACCAGGTTAGCTGTCTGCATGGGAGGCTATATGGCTTCCCCAAATAACCCAGGTAACAGGTGCTAGGATCAGGATTCCCATCCTGTTCCACTCAGGCCAGGTGACCAAAGCCTCTCCTTCACCACCATGCTTCCTACAGCACTGAGGAAGAGCTCAGCTGCCCCAACCCCATGCTCTGAACAGGTTCCAAAAGTCCAGATCCTACAGCCCAGGAGAACTAGAGAAGGCTGTCAGAGTGGGCCTTTTCTCAGAAGGCAGCTGGACAGGGGTGAATGAGGCTATGTCTAAGACCCTGGAACCCCAGCCTGCATTCTGGTGGTGGGATAGGGAAGGGAGGGATGCAGCTGAGCACCAGGCTCTGCAGCTCATTAGTACAGACCCAGTGGCAGCCTCCTCTTCTTCCTCCTCCTCTGGGCACCAGACTCTCAAACCACAGGCCTGTTGTCTAATAATACCAGCGACAGCCACTGCCACCTCCATCTGCCAACCTAAAAATAATCCCTGCTGAGCCCAAAAAAGGCTCAGCCCCCAATAGTCCCCGATCCCTCCTCCTCAACAAGCCAGGAGCTCCAGGAGATCCCAGGAAGCTGGCAGACTTGGCACTCACCAAGTGGGAGGTGCCCGCTCAAGGCAGGCAGAGGGCTAGCTCCCCACTGCCCATGCCAGGGTGATGAGCACCTGAGGGTCCAACAAGGAGCAGAGACCCATGCCCAGGACACCAGGTGCCCTGCCCTCCTCCTTACCAGCAGGAGGCTCAGAGGCCCTTCTGGTTATCCCTGTGCTTCTAGAGAGGACCACCACCCCTCTTAGAGGGCCACCCCTCATAGACGGGACCCTCTACCCATCACACCTCTGAGGGATCAGTAAGCCCAGAGTGGGCCTAGCCAGAAAACCTGGCAACATCGTGAACAGCAAGGCACTTGGGAAGGTGGGCAGGAACCCCAGCTCCCCACTCACCCTTCCAGCTGGGCTCTGGCAGCAGCCAGGGAGCCAGCGGTGCTGTTAGCAACTTTAATTTGCTCTGCTAGATTGTATTTCCAAGAGCCCTTTCCCCAGGAGCCACTGCCAGGAAGGAAGTCAGTAATCTAATCTCAGTTCTGTTCCTTTAATGGCTCTCAGCAGATATGTGAAGCAACACCCCCACCCCCACAACTTGCACCCCACCACCTGGGTGGACGCCTGCCCCATGCTGTGTGCCCCCAAGCAGGCAAGTAACAGCCTGCAAGGCCACCAAGGGAGGGCACACCAGGCTGGACCTGCCACAAGAGCAGGCTGGACCTGCCACAAGGCCAGGCTACTGCTGAGGGGCCCGAAAGGCACCATCACTAAGCAGGAGGCTGAAGTTACATATTTACTCCCAGCGAAGCATCAACATTCCCTACTTTGAAGCCAGAAAAAGAGGACAGTGACTCACCTTTGACGGTGTATGCCTGTGTGCCCTCGGGCACATGTGACCAGGAGGGAGGCCAGAGGACCTCAGGGACAGAGGCGGGGCTAAAGGCAACCTGGCTGGGTCATCCCTCCCAGCCCCGGCCCCCAGGGGCTCTTTCTCAAAACCCGCACTTCAGCCCCATATCTGCTCACCACACTCTTGCTTATTCATGCAAGAGAGAGCAGGAAGATTCCTGAGAAAAATAGGTCAGTGCCTCCGGCAGACCAGGCCCACAGCATGGGCAGTACCCAGAGTAGGGCTTGCCACTGAGCTGCCTCCCCAGCATCCTCCCCCTTCTCCCCAGGGACACAGCCCCTACTCTACCTGGAGAACGCCATACAGGGCTATCGATGCCACAACCCTCCTCCTGGCAAGACAGGCCATTTCCAGCACCCCTCCCCAGCTCAGCCCCTCTCTCATTATTCAGGCTTGGTCTCCGGAACCTCAGGCATCCTGCAACACAGCCCTGGGCTAGTGAGTGCTGGGCTCCTCACTTCAGCTGCAGAGCACAGAGTCTGCTGGAGCATGTGTAGTCTCACTGCCACCCACAGCCCTCAGGAGGAGTGGCTGCTACCTCACACCTGTACCTAACTGCCCTTGCCATGCCCCCACATTCCACACATGTGCACACAACACACAGGCACTTGCACCTGCATGTACATAGACATAATGCTGTACACACACATGCACATACAGGAATACACAGACACACACATGTATACGTACAGGTGTGCACACATGCATGCATGCATATGGGTATATGTGCATATGCAGTGTATCCACAGGCACATGAATATGCACGCACAGGTGCGCATGCGCATGCATCTGCATACACACATATACACACCTCCAGACAGCTGGAAGCTCTCACCAATTACTGCTTTTTCACCATTTAGATCCTCACACAAGTTACTCAGCCCATCCTAGGAAGCAGTCAGGGGCGCTCGCTCCCTGGAGACCCTGCACTCTGGCTGAGACAGACACAGGACGAGCGAGGTGGGGGAGGCTCTCATGGAAAAGAGAACTGGTTCACTCTCAGGCCCAGCCTTCTTTTGGTTCATCTTCACCCCCACAGCAAGCAGGAAAACTGTGAGGAGGCAAGTAGGTGCCCAGCAAGGCTGAGAAAAAGCGGGCCAGGCTCTGAGTGCTAGTGCCCTGGCTGGTGCCCTGGTAGAGGGCAGACGGGAAAGGCAGACACCAGGACAGACAGCGAGGTGCAGGCTGGGGGCAGAGATGCTACTGCACATCTCCCCAAGAGGCATCCTCTGCTCCTTGGGTAACCAGATCCCAGCTTCCCATTGCTTTCTGTCTTGGAGCCATAAACATGAAAGCACCCAGAACCTGGGTCCTAACAACTCCACAGCCTGGCCTATGTCAGGCCACCAGCCAGCAGCTGAAAGCCAACAGTTCCCACTGCCCCACACCATGCCCCATCCAACAACCCCACCCCAGCATCTCGCAGCATGCATGCTGCCAGACACAGTCTTGCCTTCAACATGTGGGCACGGGACACACATGCATATGCATACACACACATGCATGCACACACCCACTGGCACGTCCCCAGTCACGTTCTTCTCAATTGCCCCCTAGGTTTGAACCTCCTCTCTCCCATCTCTGTTTTGGAAAGGAAGAAGGGTAGGTCACACCAGGTAGAAAGTAGAGGACACTGCTTCAACTAGCAGCAGGCTCTGAGTCAGAACTCATTTGATTTCAGGATGCTGGAGTCAGGGTAATCCAGAGACTCAATGGCAGACAGAAGGTAGCCTTGGGGATGAAAACCAGACTTCCCTCCCCTGCCTGAGGGTCAGGTCAGCTGGGCCTGGTGCAGAGTCCTCCCACCTGGGATGCTGAGGACCCGACAGTAGCCCTCTCCTCCTCACCTCTGCACCTCTCCACTGACCTCACCACCTCCTTACATACCCTCCAAGAAATCAAAAGGAAAGAAGAGGCCAATCCGCCCCCCCCACCCCATGGGAGTAGGTTGAGTTCCACCCCAGCCTGGTGGGCCTCCTCCTTTCACCCTCTGTTGGAAGCCAGATCCTAGAGAGGCACCTCAAGGCCCTCCAGTTCAGGGATCTCCCCAGAAGTCACCCCTTCAGTGACTTCAGTCTGAGGACAGCTGAGATCTCTCCCAAAGCTCAGCAGCGCCCCAACTCTGGCTGATACTCCTGAGTAAGCGGGCACCCACCCCTCCAGGGGCTGGGCTCTGTGTCCTTCCACAGCCTCCTGCCCTCATCATACTCAGTGTCGTGGACCTTGGGAAGGACTTCCAAGCAGCTCTGAGGCCACACACTCTACACAGATGTGTGCCTGTGCAATGTGGGGGACAAGGTCAGCCCAAAAGGAGTCTCAGCTCCAGATAGCCTTCTGAACGTCCCACCAGTTCCTGGTTCCCTGAATAGCGCAAGAGAAAGAAAGTGAGGAGGAGCCAGTTATTGGAGTGATAGTGAAATAATCATGTTTCATAAGCACATACTATATAACAGGTAACCACTCATTTCTTTATAGCACTAACTCTTCAACAACAACAAAAAAGAAATCTACAAGCTCATACTGTTAACCCATTTCCCACTGAGACAAATGACATTTAGAGGTTGAGCAATTTGTCCAAGGTCATGGGGTCAGTGGTAGAGCCAAGATCTGAATCCAGAAAATTAACTCTAAACTTAGGTTGTTCACCACCATGCGTAGAGCCACTTTCAGCTAAAAAGACCCCAAAAGCAATCATGTCTCCCCAGCTTCAGAGAGAGCTGCAGGCTAAGTAGCAGAGCAGAGAACCTCTCCACCCTTCATCCCAGCAATCTTCACCGTGGGGAACTCCCTCCTCCTGTCTTGTCATTCTGTGTGCCCCTGCAATACAACCCCGTTTTCCTTGACTCTGTGATTAAACTTGCAAAAAAGTCCACTGCCCCCACTCTGGCTCAGGTTTGGGAGCTATTTCCGAGCCTCCCTTCTGTGTCTCTTTATTCAAAGATCGCAGCACATCCTTGTGTGCTTCCACTGACAGTCCCATACCAGGAACATACCAAAGAGCTGAGGGGAGGAGGACGAGGGCATGGAAGACTGCACGCGGACAGGGGAGCGGGAGAAGGAGGCGAGGACTCTCTCGGGCACACCCAGCCCTCCCTGCACCCGCCCCATCTCGCCCAGATTCTGCAGTCACCCCGTCATGGTGTCCCCGCCTGAGTCATGGGGTTTCAAAGCCCCATGATCAACAGAGCACTTGACGAAATCATCCTCTCCTCACCCTTCCTTGGCTGTTCTGTTTTCAGGCGCCCCCTCCCAAGCAGCACAGGAGACATATTCCATCCGGAAACTTTCTCAAATAACCCCCCAACGCACAAACGAACTGCACAAGGCGACAAAAACCGCAGACCGAGTAGCGCCGCGCCGCAGGGAGCGCGTCCCACTGCGGACCTCTCCGAGGCCCTGGGAGCCGGCAGGAGCGGCCGGGCCGGGCCGGGCCGGGCGGTGTCTGCGCGCCGGGAGCCAGCAGCCTCCAGCGCCGCTGCTACTGCCATACAAGGGCCGGGAGCAGGGTGCCACCCAGAGGCTCGCGGGGCACTCTGCCCCGCTTCTGGCAGAAGCCCGCGCGCGCACGCACGCCTCCCGGGCGCGCTGACTCCCTTAGCGCGGCTCCCCGGAAGGAGCAGCCGCGCCCCGCTCCGGGTGCAGAGCTCGCCTCGCTGCAGGCGGCCTCTCAGCCTGGAAGGGCGGCGGGGGTCGGCGCGCCCGGGGAACTTTTGCCCGGCCCCAGAGTGGCCAGCACCGGCGCGGGTGATGCCAGGCGGGGCGAGCCCAGAGCGGGCGCCCCTCGGCCCAACCTCTGCCGCTCTTCCGGGGCACCCCTGGCCCGGCGAGCGCGACCCGACCTCTGGCGGCCCGCACGCGTGGGCAAG